ACCGCCCTCCTCATATGCTCGTCCAAGGTTGTACGCCAACACAGTCTTCAACACTTCTGCCTCTTTGCCGCTTTCACCCTGAATCTTTTGCAGAGCCTCCTGGTACATCCTCTCTGCCGTCTCCACGTTGCCTTGAAGATGATACAGGGCACCGAGGTTGTCGGACAGACGGAGGGCTGTGAGATTGGGAGGCTGAAGTTCGGTGGAGGTGGTTTGAAGATCATTGTCCGATATGATGGACAAGGCGGTCTGGTAGGCGCCAATAGCCTTGTCGACGTCTTCTCCTTGCCACAGCTTGGCAAGGTCGACAAACACGTCGGCATCGGTACCCACACCCCTCAGCTTTGCCCAGTCTTCCTCCGATTCAGCGCTCGCCACCAAGTTGTGCACCTCTTCCAGCATGCCTCGCGCCTGAGCCCTGTTCTTCAAGACTTCATCTTGAGGCATACCCGGATGGGGATAGGCCAAGAGACAAGCGTGGAGGACGGTGTATTCGAGAGGCCCTCGACCGTTCAGTTTCTTGGCTGTCTGTTCGATATAGTTGAGAGCTTCACGGAGATTGTCGTTCTGGATCGCAATCTGTCCAAGAGTGAGCTCCGCGACGATATTGATCGCCGCGGGATCTTCAGCTTTGAGGGCTGCGATATAGTGTCCCGCGTCCACCACATCTCCCGCAACAAATCCAAGCCTGCCTCGCTCGGCGTTGGCGGCAACTGCATGTCGCTTGTTGTCGGCATACTGGATGGCGCGTTCGGCGAGTTTTGACGCCAAGGGGATCTGTCCTCCGTGTCCTGAAACGGTGGCAAGAGCGTGGGCAGCAGCAGAAGACTTGTTGTTAAGTTTGAAGGCTTTTTGGACATATCCTACACCTTGCGTCTCGTACTGCAGCCTGTCCGTCCTCGAGACGGATGGCTCTCTCGCCTGATTCAAAGACGCCAGACCAAGCAACAAGAGACAGACCCAGCTCCCGGTGTCACGCTCCAAAGCCCTTTCCCACGCCGTCCTAGCCTTCTCCTTGTCCCCAAGCTGCCAAAAGCAGAGCCCCAGTCCAATTCTAGGATCAGGCGTCATTTCTGGCGCGAGACGGAGCAATTGTTGATAAGTCTCCAAAGCTTGTACGTGCGAGCGGCGAGCGAATTGCAGACGAGCGTGTGCGAGGAGAGCAGGAATGTTGTTGGGTTGACGGGAAAGGAGGCGTTCGACAAGAGGGTGGGCGAGGGATGGTTGGCCAGTTGCGAGGTGATGGATGACTGGAAATGTCAGTGGGCGTACTTGAGGAACGAGTCTGCTCACTTCGTCCCATAGTCAAGCTGACCGGTTCATCATCCACAGTTGCTCCGGCATTCCGCAAGGCTTCGCTTGACGCGTTCAAATTGGCAGCAGCTTCCCGGAAATAAAACTCTTTCGTCTTTGTAGAAGGATCAATCTTGTCATATTCTGCACATGTCAGCTTTGCCTATTCACAGTTATTCACGTACTTGAGTTTTGGAGGATGTGTTTTGGAGCATCTCGAGCAAGATTCAAATAGATATGGGCAAGCATGGCATGGATATTCACCAGCGCATCCGGCCTCCTCATATGCGGTCTCGTAAAGACTACAACAATGAGCCTACTTCACGAATCCACGCTATACTCACAATGTACACCTCTATTCAGTAAATCCAAGGCTCTCTGGTACCTCTTCTTTGCCAGATGCTCTCCCGCGATGATCGTCCACTCACGACATTCGACAGCATAGTCGGTGAGCATGTCAGGGATGATATCAGCGATCTGATCCTGGTCGAGGGAGTCGAGGTCGAGGTCGGTCTGGACGCCGCCCTGCCCGTAGATGAGGATAGTTCGGGATGGCTGCTCCATGGTGGGCGGGTGGAGGGATGTTTCGAATGTTGCCAGTTGTATAGCGCCGTGGTGAATTCAATTCCGAGATGTTCAGGTGCTCCGACAAGATTGCGGCCATCGCCGCTGCCACATCATGCCTTCTGACTTTTTACAACAAGCAGCATGTTCGATGGAAATGCTGCATACGGGCAGCAAGCAGTATTGTGTGTCAAGTAGTGAGGAGCTGACTGAATCCAAGGAAGCGGCCGGTGATGTATGCATCGGGATGGTTTGATCGCGTAAGAGACGCGAACGATCATGAACAAACCAATCAGCAAAATGGGTCAAGACGTTGCGGCGTGCTGGTAGGCTTGGCCTGTTATGGAAAAGGCGAAAGGCCGAAGGTCCATGGCAGGTGCAAGAAGGCGGAACGCATGCATACACCATCCATCTGAAGTCAGGATGACGAGATCCAGACCCTCACGATAGGCACGCGGCGCTAGCAACACGGTAGGCGCGCGCGCTATCTTGCTCTGCCGAGTCACAGAAAAATCCAAACGGCGTGAATCTGTGCACAGCGAGCCATTCGTATGCTTCGGCGCTCTCTCTTTCGCCTCTCTACACGATCTATACCCCTCTACAGAACCACCCCGCTCCTCGCAAGAATGTCTACCGAAGCCCACCCCGTCTCCTCCACCTCAAAACCGGCGCCCCCAGCCGAGGGCATCAACCCCGTCACCAAGAACGCCTCCGCCGAAGCCAAGGCGGCAAAGAAGGAGGCCAAAAAGAACAAGGGTGGATCCTCGTCCGGACCTCTTGTGCTGAGCCCAGAGCCCGCATTCTTTGACGAGAGGTTGAAGATCTATGACGAGTACAAGGCCAAGTACGAGAAGTTTGTTGCTGGTAAGTCGTCTTGAATGACCTGGACTCGGCTGACGTTGTGCAGAGCAACCTCGTGAACCCATCACCATCACCTTCCCCGATGGAAAGACCGCCGAGGCCACTTCCTGGGAGACCACCCCCCTCCAGCTCGCCAAAAACATCTCTTCCTCTCTCGCTGAGCGAGTCATCATCGCCAAAGTCAACAACCAGCAATTGTGGGACCTCACCCGCCCTCTCGAGGCTTCCTGCTCTCTTGCTCTTCTTGATTTCGACTCTCCCGACAACAACTACGAGGCGAGACAGGTGTTCTGGCATTCTTCCGCGCACGTCCTCGGTGAGGCTTGCGAACGTCGATACGACGGATGCTGTCTCGGTTACGGTCCTCCCATCGAGGAAGGTGGTTTCTTCTACGATATGAGCCTTGCTGAAGGCAGGACCATCTCTCAAGAAGACTACAAGCCTATTGAGGACGTCTGCAAGATGGCTGTGAAGGAGAAACAACCTTTCGAAAGGCTCGAGCTTCCCAAGGAGGTGCTTTTGAAGATGTTTGCGTACAACAAGTACAAGCAGCACTATATCCAGGACAAGGTTCCCGATGGAACCTCATCCACTGTCTACCGATGTGGTCCCTTGATCGACTTGTGTCTCGGTCCCCACGTTCCTCACACTGGTCGTATCAAGTCTCTTGCTGTCACCAAGGTGCGTACACATACAACTGGAGAAGCGGGGCTGACATCTTGCAGAACTCTTCTTCCTACTTCCTCGGTGACGCCAAGAACGACACCTTCCAGCGAGTCTACGGAATGTCCTTCCCCGACAACGCCCAGATGAAAGAGTACAAAAAGTACCTCGAAGAGGCCGCCAAGCGTGACCACCGAAAGATCGGCAAGGAGCAAGAGCTCTTCTTCTTCAACGATCTCTCCCCTGGGTCTGCCTTCTTCTTGCCCATGGGTATGCGTATCTACAACACCCTCATGGACTTTATCAAGGCCGAATACTTTAAGCGTGGCTTCACCGAAGTCGGCACTCCCAACATGTTCAACTCCAAGCTCTGGGAGACGTCTGGTCACTGGCAAAACTACGCCGAAGACATGTTCCAGCTCAAGGTTGACGAGGACACCTTTGCTTTGAAGCCCATGAACTGCCCTGGACACTCTGTGATGTTTGGCTCTAGGGAGAGGAGTTATAAGGAGTTGCCGTTGAGGTTTGCTGAGTTTGGTGTGTTGCACCGAAACGAGGCGAGTGGAGCCCTCTCAGGATTGACCCGAGTCAGGAGATTCGTTCAGGACGATGGTGAGTCGCTTGTACGATACTTGTACGGAGCTGACATTATATAGCGCACATCTTCTGTACCCCCGAGCAAGTAGAGTCTGAACTCTACGCTGCCTTCGACTTCCTTGACGCTGTCTACAAACCCTTCGGCTTTACCTACAAAGTCGGTCTCTCCACCCGTAACCCCAAGAAGTGGATGGGTGACCTCGGCATCTGGGACAACGCGGAGAAGACTCTGAGAGAGGTTTTGGAGCAGAGGGTGCCCGGAAACTGGCACGTGAATGAGGAAGATGCGGCTTTCTACGGTCCCAAGCTGGACTTCCAGTTGACCGATGCCTTGAAGAGGAATTGGCAATGTGGTACCATTCAGGTGAGCCGCTCTTACCTCTTTCAGCTAGAGCTAACGTGCATCAGCTTGATTTCAACCTTCCCGAGCGCTTTGACCTCAAATACCACTCTGCTACCCAGTCTTCTGAAGGCGCCCAGTTCGCCCGCCCCGTCATGATCCACCGTGCCATTCTCGGTTCTCTCGAGCGATTCATCGCCATCATCACCGAGTCTACCGGTGGGAAGTGGCCTTTGTGGCTTTCGCCTAGGCAGATCGTTGTCATCCCAGTGGCCAAGCCCTATGTGGAGTATGCGCAGAAGGTTGCCAAGACATTTGGCGACGCAGGTTTGTTTGCGGAGGTCGATATGACCGACAACACCCTCAACAAAAAGATCAGGAATGGTCAGACTGCCCAATGGAACTTTATCATCGGTACGCTTCACATTCTTCTCCGCTGAATTCGGCTAATATCATGGCAGTCGTTGGAGAAGAGGAGCTCAAAGCCAACGCCGTCAACATCCGTAACCGTGATGACGAAGTGCAGGGCCGAGAAGAGACTGTCGACCTTGGCGTCGCTGTGCAGAAGATTTTGAAGTTGAAGGAGAGCAGGGCGGCTGTCAGCAAGTTGGATTGAATGGGCGTAGTTTTTGGAGACCAGCGGTGATTTTGGGAGTCTATATTGGTGATTATAGATGTATTCATAGGTCATCGGTGCCTCATACAGTACTCGTACAACAAATACCACTAATTCATGACGCTCGAAGGGAATAGATGTTTCCTGACAATGTGTCAGTCGTTCCATTGTCACCTTTTGGTCGACTCACCAAAGATCATCATCAGTTTCCGGGAAAAGATCCATATAGTCTCCGTTGATGGGCAACGCCCCATACATCCCATTCCCATTCATAGTCATCGCCTGCCCCTCTGTCACAGGGGGCACTTGCTGAGACAATTGCTGTTGGTTCACGCTCGGACCGGCAATATTGTTTCCAGCCTGGGAGTTTTGGAGCGGGAGCTGAGGTGTGGACCAGAGATACTCTTGAATGAGCTCTTGAGCAGAAGAAGGGGCCCAGACGAAGGGTTGATCGACAGGGAAGGAGGGCTGTTCAACACCCGGCAACGAGGAGGGCATCGCGGGGGGTGGATCATACTGGGGTTGCTGACCGTTCGACAGCTGGTACAGATGGACAGAATGTCCATTGGGCACTTGTTGATGGGGTGGAGGAGGGAGTTGGTCAAACGAAGACTGATGACCCGCTCTCTGGAAGCGGTCTGACCTATTATGACCCTCGTAGGACGGAGGCGACGGCTGGGTCATGAACGAGGCCAATTGCCATTCAGGGGAGATCCCGTTCAAAAGATGTTTCAAAAAACGGTGAGTGTAAGCTGCCATATCATCACTGGAAGTGGAGGCTTCTCCCATGGAGAATTGAAGGTCGGCCAGTAAGCGAATCACACGAGCACGGTCGGTACCGGACATAGGCTCCAAATTCTGCAGTACATGTCAGCTCTGGATAGCGCCGCTGACCATCTACACACCCTCACGAGCCAGATGACAGTGATAGCCAGCATCGACCACGTCGTACTGAAGCAATACGCCAAGTACCCATGCGGAACGAACTCTCTCTGTACAATTTCTGCCAAGCCTAGAGCCGCGTCGGAGCATTCAGTGAAGGCCATGGAAAGAGGCGACGGCTCGCTGACTTTCAAGGGTTTCCCTTTAGCTTCAAAACGAGCGATGAAGAGAAGACGGTATTCGCCGAGGTGGAAACGGAAGATGGCGTCGCTGACTTTGAGGGCGGCGATTTGGAAGTGGGAGAAGTTATGCCGATCTGAAATAGATCAGTACGGAGCTAGACCGAGGGCGACTACTCACCGTTCTTCAATAGCCACCGCTCTCTCCATCTCTTCCATTCTATCTCCATCCAATTCAACATCCTCATGTTTGAAGGGTCTCCATTCATAGACTCAAGACTGTCCGTGTAGAGCTTGCACAATCTGTTGAATGTGATAATGGGGCTGAAAGTTGATTCGCCAGGAGTTGGAAGGTGAGGATGATCCGCTACCCAGTCTGCTGGGTCCTCAACGTCGTCTTTGAGCATCTTGGGGAGACCGTGGGCAATGGAAAGACTGCAAATGGTTTAGCTAATGATCCAAGCAATTTCTGGATACTTACTGGTAGTCGGCCATGATCAAGTCTATCTCTATCAGCTTCGTACTGGACGCCAAAGGCACACTCACTGAGCCATACCCGCTCTCGATTCAATACCTCCCGAGCCCTCATCTCGTCTCGAGGCAGAGGTCTGGGACTGGTCTTGTCAAGTCCCAGCATCTGGGCCATGCGTATAGCCATACCTACTCGAACCCAAGATGTATCATCATCGGCTTTCTTCCAGTGGGTCAACAAGCAGAGTGCTTGGATGACTTCCAAGGTGCATACTCCAAATTCGACAGCCTGGCCGACCATCCTGTTTGCCAGGAGAAGACTCTGAGGATAGAGTTTTGGGCGGATGACTCGAGAAGTGATCGCAAGGACAGCGGTAAATAGGAGGGGTGATCGATTCCGACACCTGTCTGGAGTATGGAGGACGGAATCTAGCAATGCTACGGTAGCATTGAGATGGCGGAAGTAGCTAGATGCTTTCGTGAGAGGGTTCATGAGCGATTGAATTACACGTACAACTCGAAGAGCTCCGCACACACCTCCTCCGTCATGATGCCTGCCATCAGGGGGTCGGGACATTCTGATCTGAGGCGCTGTATCAGCTTCTCCTGAGCCAGTCCATGCGCACTTTTGATGGGCGAGTCGACCGCTGAGGTGGATATCAGTTTCCGATACTTTTGCCACACACAACAACTCACAAGGAGAGATGGCCTCCTCGGGCATGAAATGTGAATAGCGAATGTCTGATGCGCCCTTGGCGCCATCTCCAGACTTTCCCCAGGGTCTTCCATTGCTAGGATGATTGGGAAATCCCGGCAGAGGAGATTCTGCTTCGTTCTCATCATGGGATACCAAGACACTGTTGTTGTGCGAGGGCGCGATGGGGTATCTGATGGCGGAAGGAGACCTATGGCTGATAGGCCCTGCATCACTGCTACTGCTCCTCCCGACTCCAGAGCTGTTGGGACGCTCGACGAAGGGTGCAGAATTTTGACTTTTGTTTGCAGATGGTGCCATAGTATTTCCCTCCTCATTCTTTCCTGGGGATACTTTTCGCTTTCTCCCTCGACGAGCAGGAGCTGGATATTCGCAATCGATACCATGGCCTTGACACCGACGGCATGGCCTGTGGTCTCCAGAATTGACGCATTTCCGCTTTGGGTGGGATCAGTATCAGCTGTCGGCCATAATCGAACAAGCTACACCTACTTTGGTAGATCTGCATTGTAAGCAGCTACCCTGCGTACTTTACGAACATCAGCTTCCAGCCACATCTGAGCTGATCGACTTACGCCGTCACAACAGCAGGCCCTTTCGGCGGGATTGGTGGATCTACCGGGGCGTCCTGTTCCATGGTGAGGCTAGCAAACTTATTTCTTCAAGGATGCAAGGACTAAGAATAAAGAATAGCTTGTCTTATATCTTGCCTTGCTGGGCAGTTGCCGGCGGTGACGAGCTCTTTATTTGGTTCCGTTGAGAATGTTTTGTAAATTTGGTCCCTTTTACGTACTGTGTGCCGGCTAATTGAGATATACTGGGGTAAAGCGAGTGCAGTCACTTGACTGCATGTAATTTTGTATAGCCCTTGAATGATATATATACTTGAACAATGGCGGGAAGCATCACTGAACGCTATCGTTGCCGAACCTGGCGAACATAGCGACAGCGATGTATGTACTGTACACCACGCTAGTCACATCGAACGACGTGTAACGCCAGCTCAATACTGCTCAACGAAAGATAGCCTGCACTCTCCTCCCAATTTCATCCGGGGTACCCCGCAGATCTGCCCATTTGTCAGCCGTACACTACATCCCTTTCGCGCTTGTGGAGACTCACACTTCTCAGCACTCTTGCTCTGGCATCTCCCCACGAATGCTTCATACCCCCGCCTAACTACCGCTTCCGCCTCCCTCGCCACCGAGTCTCGCATCTCGAGATCTTGCCTGTTGAGTGGGTCTTGCATCAGGATACTTTCGAGTTCCTGGAAGCGGTCGAAGAATGCGATGGCAGCTTCTTTGAGAACGTGCCGCTCAGAGGTGGGAACTTTGGGGACACCGAAGCGCTGATTCTTATCGTTAGGCGGGTTGGTCAGGAGAGCTGTCAATGATTGGAATTCGGCGATGAATTGGCTACAAGCTTCGTGAGCTCTTGTTGGCTTTGAAGACGGTATTGGACGTACCCTCGAGCATCTCGGACAGCCTTATTGAGCATAGCCTCGGCTCCTGGCCCGGTGATATCAGAGTTGGATTGTATGATGAGCATGTTTCTGATATGCGAGGCTAGTGGACTCTATAAGCAGGTGCGATCATGCCGGGAATCAAAAACTCACAGTTGTTGAGCAAGAACGCTTGTCCCACGGGATGTCTCATACCCCTCGACTTGGCCTCTAAATGCCTCAGCAGCGTTCCCAGAACATCCGCCACAAAGAACTTGACGATGCCACCCTCCTCATCCGCACTCCGTACATTGCTTGGCGCATCTTTCAGACCCATCAACCAGCTTCTCTCTGATACACTCTTTCCCAGCAAACCCTCCACTACATCTTCGTACCGTATCAGGTTCTCGAGGTATGTGATGGTAGAGTAAGAGATATCGATAATGGCGCTTGTGGAAGGACCGTCGGCCCGAGCAGACCGGATGTCGACGAGCGCTTCAGGGAACGATCGCAGAGACAAGGAGCGCAGCGTAGAGATTGGTTGATGAAGAGTCGATATGAGGTCTTTGGTAGCCGGAGAAGAGGGAGTGCCAAGGCGGGAGAGACACTCGGTCATGGTGTGGTCCCATTGAGGCTGAAGGCGAAGGAGGGAGGCGTACAGATCCAAGGCTGTGAAGGTATGTTGGGCAAGGTTGCGCTTGAGCATAGCGAGCGTAGGAGCAAGAGTTTGTTCTGCGAGAGCGATGGGTCGGGCGAGGGTCTGGGCAAGCAGAGTGGGTGGAGGATGGTTGGGGAAAAGGGTGGTGATGAGCATTGTCTCGGCCTGCATGCCATCAGCTGGGCTCGTACAGTCATATGAAGGCAACTCACTTCTGCAACATGTATGATAACTTCCCATAGTCTCAATATGCTCTCTACCTTCTCCCTTCCACTGTGGCCTTCCCAGATGCCTCCTTCATCCGCTTCTTCCACCTTGCTCACTAGACTGCTCATACTTCGGCATATCCATTCACCCCTGATACCGGCCAGCTTGGAGATGGCATCTTCGTAGGACGGATTGAGGACTGTAGCTGTTTTCGGTGTCTCGGCGGCAGGGTAGAGGAGTGATGTGATCCTTGTAGTAAGAGGGAGGACGGTATTGAGCGGAGGAAAGTAGTTGGGAGGTGTCGGAGAGCCTATGGGGTATCAGAATGGCACTTGGAAGGTCATTCATGCTTACCATTGTTCAGAAGGCTTTCGACATCCAAGGCGCGACCTGAACCCTCTTTGGACAAGCGCAAAAGGAGCTGCACGGCTCCCTCAAACCCGACCTCTACGAGCTGGCTCTGCACATTGTGTCAGGAGACGCTCACTAAGCCAACGATGTGTACGAACCAAGTCTTTCACGCCAGCCTCCCGCGCACCCCCTCTTCCCTCCGTCAGCCCCTTCCACATTCTCTCCAAGTCTTCCACCACGCCATTCAAAGCGGTAAAGTACTCTCCCAACGCCATGATATCCGGCCCTCTCATCAAGAGCGCGCTATCGTCTGCAGGCGTCGCCGAGCGTGATGGTGCGGCTGAAGCGATTGGGGACAAGGCAGGAGCTGTGAGTTTGACCGTAGGAGGCTCGAGGGAGTAGCCTTTGGCAGATGACGCTGATGCCTGCCTGGATGTAGGTGGACGCGGTGGGGCAGACGCAGGGGCAGATGGCGCCAATGCTTTGCCTTCTAGGTAGTTCAATAGAGACTCTATGTCTGTCAGAGTGTCAGTAACGCCCATTATATCCTACCAGAGCTGGACTCGCTGGCTTCTTTCCTCGTGAGAGGCTGTATACCTAGCGGCACAATGGCCTTGTCTAACCGATACAGTCTGTTGTCCAGTTGCCCAAGGATGTCTGAGCCATATGGTCAGCAGAGCTATTACATACGAGCAGATATAGGCGCACTAGTCATGCGTTGACCAAGCTGGTTGGTCTTGAGCAGGTGCTGGTCCTATAGCATGCCGGGGATCAGCTCACGGACGCGTCTGGATTCCCTTCACGTACAAGCAGCGCAAGATCGGCTTCTTCGTCCATGGTATCGGGGGTGGCCTGGGGCCGAGCTGGGGTATATAAGTTGGTGCAAGTGCTGAGTCAAGATGGTTATTGGATGGCTTCGAGATCACAACAACACGCAAAGCGATGACGTGGGGAGATGTTACCCAGCGTTTGGTACAATCATAGAACCATATTGTGGCTCCATAATATCGACGGCCATAGCCTCCTCAAAGTACCGCGTCCCGTCTGATCCGCGAAGTCAACTAGGAGAGCGCTCGGTTAGTACCAGGGTGGGGGACCACCTGGGAATCCCGGGTGCCGTCGTTTTTGCTCTTTTTGCCTTTTGATTTCTGGGAGCCTGATGTACATATGTGGATGCACCTGGCTCAACTGGCATTCATTACGAGGGAATACATTAAAACCCAGACCCATAGGGTCAGAGGAAGCTTACCACGAGTCTTGACCAAAGTCAAAAGTGTCCGATGAACATTACGCGACGCGTCAGCGGCTCCGTCTCTTTCAATCCAGACAAGGTATTTTGATTTTGCTTTCACTCTATTGAACCTCCCGATCAGCTTTCGCCATGACCGAGCCTCGCAAAAATCATGATCTCGCCTACATTGACATACAAGTGCGCAAATAATCTGAAAGGGCGAAGCAGCTGCTGACATCCGTCCCCAGCACGATACCACAGCCGTCTTTGATGATGTCGAGCAGGGCTTAGTCGTGAAGGAGGACTTCTGGGTATCCGGAGTGAGCCTTGTCTGAATCTTGGGGCTTGACATATGCTGACTTGTTTTTAGTATCAGACTGGTTCGACTTCGGTGCATGGAAGAGTCAAAGTCGAATACGAAGACGGGGGCCGGATCAGCGTCACCCCAAGAGATGGTGTACAAGTGGACAGGATAACACAAGTCAGTATACCGCACTTGTATAATCTGATTGCTGACGAACGACGGTAGTCTGATTTCATTGTGGATATTCCGTCACTCTCCATCTCCCGCCGGGCAGTTCACTTTCCCAAACAGGTCATTCATCCTCCCTACAAGAAGAAGTCGGATCTAGATGTACGTTCTCGACATGTCATACTGCAGCGCACTGACATATGCATTATAGCCCCCTCTGCAAATCAATGACTTGTCTATCAATCCTAAAACACCACATATAGTTGTGGGAGGCCCAGACGGATACTGCGCTATCCTTCCGACAAGTATCAGCGCCAACGTGGACAAGGAGGCTGTCAAGCTCGAGGGTCATGTTGGAGATGTCCTTTCTGTCCAATGGTTCCCTAGTGGCGAAGTATGTCAAGTTTCCAAGGCAAACTGCGATTCTAACACCATTGCAGGTCATTCTCACAGCATCCTCAGACCTCTCCCTCCGCATCTTTGGCCTCACCGGCATCAACCCCCGCACATTCCGAGGCCACACTCGCGCAATCACTTCTTCTCTCATCATTGGTGTCGGAAAGAATGTGCTCTCTGGTAGTAAGGATGGGACGGTCAGACTTTGGGACGTTGCTCAAGGCAAGGAGGTGAGGCAGTGGGCGGTTGGAGGGAACAAGTTGTATCCGGCGGAAGGTTTGACGTTGCTGGAAGATCCCAAAAGCCTGAAGGCTGTGGGGTTGGAAGGGCAAGAGCGGGTGTTGCTGGTTCAAACGCAGAAAGGGGTTTGGGTGCAACCTGAAGAAGGCGAGGGATGGCTGGTCCAGCTCGAAGGGCAGCTGAGTGCGTTGGCACTCGACAATGAGAGCGGGACACTAGCATTAGGTTACAAGAGCGGTATGATTGAGGTCGTGGAAATTGCGAGATTGGCGAAGGAGGCGTATACCGGCAAGAGAAGTACGATCCGCCGAAACGGAAGCCCCATCTACTCCCTTGCCCTCGTCGCTGCTTCCCAGACCTCCGAGTCAAATCTCTTTGGGGGCACCGCTGCTGGCCTCCCCTGTCGTCTGGGGATCAAGCCAGTCACGGATGGTTTCGAGGTGACTGTCACGAATGAATTGGCCGGGTGGGATGCTGTGGGGGTCGAGTGTATACAGGTGGGTAGTGATGGGAGTGTTTGGTGCGGCGGCGGGGAGGGCGGGGTGAGGAGATATGTGGTCGCTTGATGTACAGGTGATTGATTGGATAGTCGTTTCCAATGATATACATGTAATACAGCCTAGAAACCGGAAGTAAGGGAGGGAAGATGACTATCTTTCTCTTGCGAGAGCTGAGAATAAAGTTAGCGCTATGGCTCAGTCATCTGAAAGATACTTACGGTTGTACATCAACAGCTTCTCAATGAGGTCGACTATCATAATGGGATTAGCTTACACATCGCATAGACTGGTTGAGACATACCATGAGTGAGGACCATTCGTCGACAACAATATCGTTTCCTACAATTCGATGCCCATCAGTGTCCTGCCTCCTATCTATCCATGACCATTATCCTCACAGCTGAAGCTTGTCCATAGCCTCACTACATCATCAGAGTATTAGCTTCTCATTCTCAAAAAGTCAGATGCTGACTCACCCCTCGTCAACGCCAGCAGCGAGCAACTCGAGGTAACTGTCCCAGAGGTTACCGATAACCTTACCGCACGAGAAGCATCGAACGGGAATGATCTGATATATACAATGAGTGTCTCTCGCAAGCACTCAGTGATTTGAACGTACCATTTTGATTTACTTTGGATTATACAGCAAGTTGCAAGAGGCCATAAGCGCTCGAAGAAAGTGGTCCGCGGAAAATGTGATTCTTTTTTGGGCCCCCACTTTGCCAAAGTCAACAACATCATCAACGTGTTTCGACGCGTCTGTTCTCTTTGATCAACCACACAGCCGCACCCAAAGATGCCCCCGAGAACGGCAGAGGCGGCCACCAAAATGCCCCCAAAGGCGCCAGTACGTAGGCCAGCTCGAGCAAACCCCGGGAAGACCCCGGACGAGCTCGCAGACGACATTGGAAAGCTGGCCATCACCAAGCCAGAGCCCAAGGCACGAGCAACAGGTCCCAAAGCTGCTTCCTCCAAGACTTCTATACCGCCTACAAGGAAGACCCCAGCACCTGCGACGGCAAAAGGCAAGGGTAGAGCGAAAGAGCCTCTAGCAGAGACCATCCCCTGGGCATGTGCGGCCGCGGCAGACAACTTCAAGCCAGTGGAACGTGCCTCACAGGCTATGCAGGCTGTCAACACGAGCCTCAAGTCTATATCGCAAGCTGAGGCTGCGGGATACAGATATGGGCAGGGAAAGGTCGTCGAGAGGGAAGGAGGAGATTGGACAGATGAAACAGCGGACACGACGGCAGAGCTCAGTATGGTGGGCTTTGCGGTTCTGAGAGAGCTTGATAAGGAGGGGGCGATTGGCAAAAAGGGTATAGAAGTGGAGAGAGTGTGTCAGGTGATTGTGCACAAGATGCTGGTCATTGGAATGGTACGTTGCTCCTCTGCTTGAGGTGGGAGCTAATGTGGTGTCTAGACGAAGCAAGCCATAGAGATCTTGTGCAAAACCAAATCGGCCTTATTCCGGCTGTACTCTCCCATCGAATCTGAACCTTCTTCTTCCGAGCCGAAGCCTCCTACGACCTCGGCAAGCTCGTCACGTACGACAGTACGCCCAGCTGCCAAGGCCCCCGCTCGCCCCACGCCTGCCAGCTCTTCCAAGGCCCCCGCTTCTGTGGAAGGTGATGTCGCTGTGCCTGCGTCGTGGCTAGATACAGCCTCTTATCCATCTCCACGTGATGGCTCGGAGATACCCGATCTTGTGCGATCACTACTATTCTCGGCGGTGCTGTCCTCTTGGACCAGCTTAGTCTCTTACTCGCAGGGGTCGGAAGAGGTCATAGGCGCTCTTTGGAAGTCCCATTCCGACCACTCATCGTTCATCAGCCCTCTCGTTCTCGCACGATCACTATCGCGCCCCTCCATCACCCCTGCGCTATACGCATTCTACCGAGCTGTCAGCAGCCTTGCACCTCCTGCAACTTCCCCTATCTTCCTACCCATACGACGTATAGCCCTCTTTGCTCTGTCACTCACCATCACAGCTACTGCCGAGTCTAAAAACTCTCCTACACAGCTATGGGAGACCACACACAGGATCGTAGCGGCAGTGGTGAACGCGAGAAAGGACGAGGCGCGGTTGAGCGAAGCCACCGAGGCTGTCTTGAGCGTTGTCGAATGGGTCGAAAAGATATTGGAGGCCAGGGGCGAGGATGGATCTGGGTGGTTCAGTGGAAAGGGGTGGTCAGGGCTGGCTGATATGTGGATTGCCCTCGGGCGAAAGGTGAGTCGTCTGAGTTGTCCGTGCCAAGGTCTTGGTCTGACTTTTCATAGCTGGGTGATTCGAATGTAATCGACAAAGCCTTGTCTCTCATGGCCGCTTCAGCTTCCTTCTCATCACCCGTGTCCACTCCCAAGAAGAATGGGATCTCACCCGCCCCGTCGACTCCTCAAGCTGCGCCGTTAGCCAAGTTCGAAGGTCAACCGGACACCGAAGTGACACGGATTCGAGGTGTGCTCGCTAAAGCCAGTCTATCGATAGACAAGATATTGTTGGAAGCCTCCCCGCCCTCGTTACCTTTGGAGGGCCTATCGCGTCAAGAGTTGTCCAGTTTGGGCCAAGCTTTGGGTATGCTTTCGGAGGATGAAGATACCAAGGTGTTGGTGGAAAGAACTGTCAGAGCATGGGAGCGGACAAGAAGGGGTTGTGTCAAGTTGTTTGACAAATTTGGGAGTCAGGAAGAGTGGAAGAGTGTCCTGAAGGATATAGAAAGTTGGTCTGTGGCGGCTGTTGGGCTCGCCGAAGGGGTCAGCGGGCGTGTCAAACTCGTGAGTGACCGCAATGCCTTGACGTGCCGAGACTGACAGAGCCCAGGATCCTTCACTAGCGCTGCATATCGTTTCAGGATCGATAGACACCATTGTCGTTCTCTCACAACGCAATGCTTCTAACTCCTATTCTCTACTCTGCCGCGGCTATGGTCTCTATCAGCAAAACAAACCCTGGACGTCACCGTCAGACCACATTAATTGGCTTCGCTGCCTGTCTACCTCTGCGTATAATATCGGCGGCAAACTCTTTACAGAGGGCGCAGCATCTGACGCAACACCTCTCATACAAGCTAGCTGCGAATGGGGAGCGGAGGCTGTAGAAATCGGGAAAAGTGTGGGCGACACAGACAAGGGGTTGCAGCATTTGCAGGAAGGGCTATCGAAGAGGTGGGAATGGCTGGCTGGATGTCAACAGAAAGCGGGGGATAAGAAGGCGCTGTTTGCTTCTTATGCCGAGTGCTTTGCTTCTCAGCCCCCGTCCCTCTTGACCTCCTTGTCTTCTGCGTCCTCTCAGCCTGTCTCTGTGATTCTCAAACCCTTCCCTGATCTCCACAATACTCTCCAGCGGGTGTCCACCTTCATATTCTATGATCCATCTCAGGCTGTCTCTTTCGGCACAGATGTTGTCGAGGCCATGGGCAAGAGACTCCAACCTTTTGAGGCAGGGGCGATCGGTGAGAAGCTCATGGAAACAATCGAAGAGGGCGCTTGGAAAGGGGAAGTCGCGGAAATAGCATTGGATATTGGGGAAGGGCTTCTGGGGCTGTATGATGGACAGTATCCTCTGAGAAGGCTTCGGTGCGTGCCTTTCTTTTCAAGTTTACCGACGTACCCGAAGCTCATCTGATGTTCGCAGCGTCATTGCTCGTATGTTGAAGATTACTGTCGCCTCGGGCCAACGAGCAGCACAATTCCTAGACCTAGTGGAAGAGGCGGATCGCCTCTACTCTCAATCTGCTGTTAAAGAGGACGCCCTTTTGGAAGTCTACAAGAAAGAGTACTACGCGTATATCTTGATCCTTCGAGCTTTACAAGCGTACCACTCTACCTCTGAACCGTCTGCCTCTGTACTCCAGCATCAACAACAGATCCACCAGCTTCTACGGGAGCTGATCCTTCCTCCGACACCTGTTGTCGTGCAAGATGAAGGTGTCAAGAAACGACAGCCTCTGGGGCGGGCGACTACCACCAGGGCCGCGCCCACCAGGTCAACGAGGAGCGCGCAGCGGACAGTCTCTGAGCCGCAGAAGAAGCCTATGGCGACAACCAGGGGGGTACCGGCGAAGAAGGGGAAGAGCGCCGCGGAGGTGGGGACCAAAGCCGTTGCTTATGACGACTTGAAGCGTCTTACACACTTGATTTGTGAGTAACTTTTAAGTCATTGTGGAATGTACTGATCCGGCCTAGCATCGTTGGCAACCCTTCTCGGGCTTCTGGGCATGTCTCTTGCGCAAGTGGAGGTGCTGAAACTGTTGAGAGCTTTGCAAAGAAATCGAGACCCCTTGTTCAGCGGTAAGTGGCAGCCCACGTCATCTCGCGGTCCTACTGACACATACAAAGGCTACATTGACGCTTCTGCTCAACTTGCCACTGAATACCACAAGCTGGGGAAGATCTCGCGAGCAGGAAGCGTCTTCACCCAAGCACATAACGCTTTGCAAGATAGCAAAGTGCTCGTGGACGATAGCGTGCAAGTGGAGCTATTGCTGAGGTGGTGTTGCTATCTGGCCGACACTGGAGATGTCGCCAAGGCGTGAGTGACCTGTGTCAGATTCCAGTCACCACTAACATCTGAATAGCCGAGAGATGTATGCCAAAGCACAGAATATCGATCGCCACATTGAAGACTCCAAGGATAAATCGCGCTCTCTCCATCTGCAGATCATCACTCGTTGTGTCACGTTGGAAAGAGCTGCTTGGGCCCGTACTGCTACTGCAGCTATCAATGCTGCTGAGGTAAGCTTTTTCATTGAGTGAACCTTCATGTGCTGACTTGTGCGCAGGACAATTCCTCCGCTGCCATTATGCAGCTTTCCGCAGCATTTCGTCTTTGGACTCGCGCTTCTGACAATATATGCCGGATAGCCGAGGAAGAGGTCCCCGTCATTGTCAATCGCACAACTCCTGATGATCCTTTCCTTGACGCACCCAACTCAAACCGCCCCACTGGAGCAGATGAACCCGCCAAAGACGACCGACCACCCCCCCCACCACAAGCGTCCAGCTTCTCTCTGAAACATCTGGACAGCCTTCAGTGGCACGTCGCTGTCGGGCTTTTGAACACCACGTTTGACCTGGCTTCGGCTTTTGCTGCGAGAGGCTCGGTCAAGGACGTGGAGTACTTCTTGAAAGTCGCTGGTCAAGTCAGCGCCGTAGTGAAAAGTGGGGGCATGGGTGCGAAGACGGGTGCTAGTGAAGCTGAGATTCTGTTCAGGCTGAGAAAGTATGACGAGGTGGAAGGTCGGTTGGAGGGGGCAGCCGCATTACTAGGCACGGTGAGTCGTTCTCTGGTCTGTTCAATCGAGAACAGTGCTCAATCTAGCCCATAGGACACCGGACCGGGAATGGTAGACATACTGCGAGTTCAAGGAGACTTGTATACCCGGCAGGATCTGGTTGAGGAAGCAAATCAAGTATTCGAGTGTACCTCGAACGAGATAGCTGGACTAGACGCAACATTTGCGGCTGCAGAAGCTCTTCTGCCCACGTGAGTTTCCTGCTCCTTTTCGGACACTCTTTGCTGATACATTTTCACAGCCCCAAGAAAGCTTCTGCTCTTGGAACCTCGAATACCAGCACCAAAAGCCTTCCGATACCTCGAAAGAGCACCAGCGGGAAGGAGCCACTGCTGACCGTGCCTCTGGCGCATGTGCTCGTTCAACACGGTACGTTTTCGCTTTGAGGGATTCCGGTCGCTGATCTATTCATTCCAGCATGGTTGTTGCGAGAGGCTGGAACCAAAGACGAATGCGAGAGACTTCTTGCGCGTATCAAAGGACTGCCGCATTCGAGATACATCAAGGTGAGCAAGATCCGACAATCCCGAGGCTGGAGGCTGATCAACCTTGGACTAGTCCCAAGAGCTTCTTCTATATGGCCGTATCGCCCTTCATGAAGCCTTCGTCCAATTCAAGACGGATCTTTTCATGAGTTCCTTGACTGAGTCTGGTGCGTGGGCGGAAGATCATGTTTTTTCTTGAGGCTGACAAAATCCTAGCGATTGCAATGCCCATGGGTAATCCCACCAAAAAGGCAAATGATCGACAATCTTCAAGACTCAAGATACAGTCTGTGTTGACCCGCGCCGAAAGCTCCTTTATGTCTACACTGGACTTGGTGGCCGGCAGTGGAAGAGTAGAAGATATACGCCAGGCTTGCTTGGCACTGGCGCTACTGAGAGCTTTCCAGACTGCACTAGGCCTCGGATCATCGGCTGTCACATCGGCCGCTGCAGACATACTCGGTGAGCCGCGCGAACAGTTAGTAACGGTATGAGCTGACGATATCAGCCTCGAGCTCTTCCATTACTCTTCAGCGAGAGCTTCTGCAGGCTATTGATTGCAAATTCATTGATGTCGGTGCGAACGACATTCAGTGGTCATCGTCGGACGCGTCAAAGGCCTCAAAACCAAAGCCAGAGGATGAAGACTCGGAGACTGAGTGCCTCGATGACCACGATGGTAAACTTCGCTCTTATTGGGACATGATCAGAGAAAAGTATAGCTCAAACCCTCTACTCACAACGGAGAGCGTTTCTCTTGAGAGTCTCCCATCCAATTGGGCGGTCGTCAGCGTCAATGTCTCGGACGATCGGAATACCATCTTTGTCTCACGACACCAAAAGGACCATGAGCCAATCGTCTTCTGTCTTCCTCTCGATAGACAAGGACGAAGGGAGGGTGACGACGAGACCTGGACGTTCGATGCTGCCGTCGAGGAGCTCCAGACGATCATACAAGCAAGCAATGGAGGTGCAAGGAGAGCTAGATCAATCACCACAGCAGAAGGCAAAGTTGAATGGTGGGCGGAAAGGCGAGCGTTGGACAAGAGGATGGAGGAGCTTTGTGTCAACCTTGAATTTGTGTGGCTGGGCGCGTTCAAGGTCAGTGTGTGCTCTATATGTGTTTGTTCCTAAGCTGACCGGACTGCAGACGATCTTTGCCCCCCGTAACCGCTTCAGCAAAGAAGATCTGGCCGAATTCCGCACCAATCTTGAAAAGGTCTTGCAAGCTGCACTTTCTGGAGGTCGAAATGCCAAAGGCAAAAAGGTTCCTCCTAAACTACATCTCAACGATGCTTTACTCGAGTGCTTTGCCGGCCTGTCCAGCAAGTGCCAAGGCGAAGAAGCGGAAGATTTGATCTACTTTATGCTCGACACTTACCAGTTCCATGGGCTGGAAGTGGCTCTGTCGGAGTTGGACATGGACGAAGTGCGTGATCTGTATCCATCTTCTGACAACAACTTACCTGTCCTGTAGATTGCTATTGATATCAAAAGCGTGTTGGAAAAGATTGAAGCAAAGCAGGTCAAGAGCACCAACTTGACCGAAGAGCACGTCTTTTTGGCATTGGACAAGAACGTCCAGTCCTTCCCATGGGAGTCGATACCGATCTTGCGAGGGCGCCCTGTCAGTCGTATCCCGTCATTGTCATTTCTTCTTGACCAGGTCGCTATGGGCAACCACCTCCGACCTTCTTTGACTAGAAGCTTGGTTGAGCCCGGTGACCAACCGACCACTCAACGCACCGTCAACTCCAGAAGGACGTTCTATATCTTGAACCCTAGCGGTGATCTTGCAAGAACCGAATCACACTTCAAACCTTGGATAGATGAGATGGTGAAGACCGCTGGGTGGAAGGGTATTGTGGGCCGCGCGCCCACAGAGCTGGAAATGAAGGCCGCGCTGAGAGACTATGATCTGGTATTGTGAGTGACTCGACCTGCAAGCGACTGGGGACAAGAGCTGATGAGACCAAGGTACTTTGGACACGGTGGTGCCGAGCAATATATCAGCTCCCACAAGATCAGATGCCTGCCCCAGTGTGCCACGACCATGTTATGGGGTTGTTCCTCCGGTCACTTGAAAGACCAAGGGGACTTTGACCGAACGGGCACGGCTTGGCACTACATGGTTGCCGGATGGTGAGTTGTCTGTATCACATGGTGGCTCAAGCTGACATCGGGCAGTCCGTCTCTGGTGGGTAACCTTTGGGACGTCACGGACCGCGACATCGATCGTTTGTCCGAGCACGTACTGAAGCAAGGACTGCATCTCGATTCCGCCCACCAACCCCACTCCAAAAATCGGCTCAACACTTTGCTGCCGCTCTCGGAACTCTCGACTGTTCAGGCAGTCAACAGGGCGCGAGATGAGTGCAAGCTCAAGTACCTCAACGGGGCAGCTCCGGTGGTCTACGGACTACCTGTGTATCTACATTAGAGTCCTGAGCCACGTTGTTCATCCCATATATGTACCGTGCAAGTACATAAATGCATAATCTTGTGTAAGCTAGGACCGATTTGAGTACATTATAAGTGTCAAGCATGGTGCGTGATAGATATTACATAGCATAGACTAATGCAGAAGAGATCTCATGACTGTGCGCAGCTCCTAACTCTGGCTCTGCGTCCTTTCCTGACTTTCCGGCACATTACCGGCAGTCTGCCCTGCCCATTGCGGTACTTCAAACTCGAGTGTCTTGCACTCGCCAGTTTCAAGGCAGACGAGTGCAAGGGTGCCCGTTTTGGCAAAGGATGGGAGGAGAATGATCCGAGTTGGGTCGTCGTCTGTAGCCACCCGTCAGTGATTACAACCTTGAACCCGAAAGCGCGACGGGAACGCACCTCCAACAACAGTAGTCTCAAACTCTGGTTGATTTCCAATGACATAGAAGTCTGGTCGATGTTTCAGGATGAAAGGGTCGGCATCTGGGAAGGGGTAGATCCATAGGGTATCAGGCGCTGTGGGTGCGATATGCCGCCATTCCAGAGTCCGCTTGGCCATCGCCAGACGAGAGTCACCAGGAAGGTATTTGAAGATATCATCTATCGTTTGACCACCAAGTGCTAGTATACTGACAAGAAGGTCAGCGTGATCGTTGACGGATTTTGAAGCAGGTGAAAGTTACCTCTTCCCACCCACTTCCATCCAAGTCGGGTTGGTCTCGCACTCCAAACCTTCCGTCTTGGCCTTGCCGCCAAAGAGGATTCTGGGAAGAGGCTGTTGTGGTAATGTGGCACCTGCAGGATCGGAGGGTCCCGGGATGAGGTTGATTGGAAGAGAAGTAGAGAGAAGGTCATGCAGGAGGGCGGAGAGGGATTTGGTAGGGTGATTGGGGAATTGGGGTTTGTTGGAGGTTGAGAATTTGGTCTGAAACGGCCTTGAGCATGGCATCCGTAATATCTAAAGAGGTACTTACGACTCTCTTGTCGTCTTCGCCCTTCACAGGAGTTGTCAAAGAGTTGCCGACGAGCACTAAACGCGCTATTCGAGAACCAGCTAGGCGATCCTGGAGAACAAGTCAGTATACACGATGATGTGCTCGGATGAGACTTACATCTTCCCCTCCAGCTTCTCCCATAAGCCATTCCACCAACAACTCTGCTTTCAGGTCTGATGGGCTATCTTGCGAACCGACAGATAAGCCAGACACCAGAGCGACCCATGTCTTTTCGGATTGGGGAATGTCATTTGGATCTTCTGGCATTAGATCAGCTGAGTTGAGGCCAGGCCATAAAGAGATACGCACCTGCCATCTCTACATCCTCGTCCTTGGCTTTCCCCTTAATCTTACCTTCCTTCTTCACCGCCAACTTGTCAGGCAGCCCCGAGAAACAGACATCCACCACCTCGAAATCTCCTTGCGAATTCTCCATTCCCAAAACACCCATGATCACACCCGTGACAATCCCTCCCCCTTCTCTATCGCGTTCTCTCTGGATGACATCGCCTACCAGGCGCACGCGGCCAGATTCGTCTTCGAGGTGGATGGCGTCTTGGGCCGAGAAGAACTTTTTGCGTGCTATAGGCGGGGCGAGCCAGTGCTGAGAGAGCCATAAGCGAGCAGTACGACCAAGGCCTGGGGAATGCTTACGTCTCTGGCCATGTCTTCGAGGATATTTGGCTTGAGGGGCATTTCCATATAGACCGTACCGACAATGTAGCACAGTTGTGACCGCGTCAGATTGAGGATACGCGGCAAGAGCGGTGGATTGCCTGTAGTATCGTCAACCATCATCTGAGCGATAAGGAACAACATACCCTTAACCTTCTTCCACTTTTCCACAGCCCTCTTCTCTACTGTGGGCCGCTGTTCGACGAGCCTGACAAAGTAGATGTTGGCATACTGGTGCTTGTATGACCTATTTGCTGGGAGAACTGTGAAATGTTTGGACACCTCGAGGAGGGGGTCATAGGAAGGGGACGGGCGGGCCATGGGGAATAGATGGAGATAGTCGTCGAATCGCACAAATTCAATAGGACATGACCCAAAACGCGTCGCGCTCGTGCTTACGTAATGAACGCGTGTACCAAAACACCGTCATGTCAAAACGCGTTCAAGGCAACATCGATCTCTTTCAACATCTTCTTGCCACCGGGCTGTCCATGAGCACCTCCACAAAACTCCTCGAGGAGTACATGGAAAAGAAACAGCAAGGCGTTCCCGACCGCTCATTCTCAAACCCTGCCCTCGAAGGCCGCGTCAACAACCGCAACCAGGAATTCTCAATCGTCAGTCGGAGACCGCTCAGGATGGACCACGGGGACAACTCTATGGGCGACCGATCTTTCAATGGGGGCTACTCAGGAGGTCAGGGCGGAGGGAACCAGAGTTTCGCAGACTCGAGCTATGGCAATGGGAGCTTTGGCTTTGGGAATGGTACCTTTACCTCAACGCACAGGGGGTGTGCGAGCCAGTGGTCTGAAGACAGAGTGGAGCAGATCCAGGCGAGGTTGAAGAGGAAGCTTGGGCCAGAGTATGTGACTCAACGCCCCGGGCCTGGTGGAGTGCAGAAACTGAGGTGAGCCGAGCGGTTGTCCTGGAACTTGGCCTGAGCTGACGTGTATCGCCCAGCTATATCGAAGGATGGAAAGGTATGCCGCTACTCCATGCAATCAACTCATGGGCTCTTTCTGACTGTCGGTAGTTATCAACCTCGCCAACGATGTGTTTGGCTACAACGGCTGGTCGACTACCATCGTGTCGCTGAAACCAGACTTTATTGACCAGACAAAAGAAGGCCGGGTCTTTGTAAATGCCACTGCTATCATCCGGATCACTCTTCTCGACGGGACATTCCATGAAGACGTTGGGTGTGGACAAGCGGAGAATGTCAAGAGCAAAGGCGCTGCTATCGACAAAGTGTGTCTCGAACTACTCTACTCGTGCACCAGGCTGACTCCCAAGTAGGCGCAAAAAGAGGCGGTGACAGATGCTACCAAGCGTGCGCTTCGAATGTTTGGCAATGTGCTCGGTAACTGCCTCTACGATAAAGAGTACACCAAAGAGGTTGTAAAGATGAAGGTCCCTCCGGTACGTATGCCTGCTGATCTCTTGCTACCGAGCTGACAAAGCGAAAGGCCAAGTTCCAACCAGATGGGCTTGAAAGACGTGCAGAGTTTGCTCCGCCCGGGTATAGCCATGATACTGCTCCAGGCCCATCTCGCTCCAACTCCATCCCACCGCATATGAACAACGACAATCGACCTCCTCTGAACAACAATATTCTTCCTCCTCGCAACATTCCTCAAGCCGATCCACAACCCCCACCACCACCCATGCGCCCGCCACCCAATGACATCGAGGCCACGCCACTAAAATCAGTCCACAGTGGGGATGGTCAGGAGGACGAGTACTTCTTTGACGAAAATTTTGATGCGGAGTTTGCACAGTTCGATGATGATTCCATGATGGCGGGAGTAGATGGGGCTGGACCGAGCTCTGGCACGTGAGTGATCTACTACTGGGCTTGTTATGCGGTACTGATGGGCTATAGTAATACAAGCGTACACTCTGAACCTTCCAAGCCTGAACGACCGGCGTACCAACATCGTGCCCGCCCAGACTTAAACAAGTCTGTGTCTGAGGGTCCCGCCAAAGAAGCATCGTTTCAGAAACCTGCTCCTCCTCAAGCACCCCAATTCGGGCGCCCGGCCCAGCATGCTCCTCAAGCTCCGGTTGTGCACCATGCGCCAGTGCTGGAAGGGCAAAAGACTATACCGTCCAACAGCAGCCCCGTTGACAGGGGTGTGTTTGGAAAGACGGTGTCTGCGCCAGTCGCTGTAGGAAAGCAGCCGCCGAAAGTTGTTGGTGGATTCAATTTCCCAGGACCTGTACGTCAATTTCTTTCCTCAGACCACTCGCTGATCTGGTGCTAGGCAAATAAGCCTGCATCTTCCAGAGCTCAAGCGATTCTCAAAGGCCTAAACGGCAATACACACCCTTCGCCTCATCTCAAAGGCCCCGAGTCCCCACGGATTCCCTCGGGTGGTGTAGACCACGCCGCTCAGCGGGCCTCCTCCAGGCTCGCTAAAGAAGGCGCGAGGCTGGGCTTTGATGAGAATGACGAGGCGGTGGCGGCGGACTTGGCATTGGGAGGGTTTGCGAGTGCTAAAGGGTTGAAACGGGCGCCACCTGGAGCAGAACGGAGAAGTCGTAGTCCGTCGCCTACGAAGAAGAGTGGAGGAGTGCAAGGTAGAACAGCATTGGGGGAGTTGGATCCTGCAGATTGGGCTGCCAAGAGGTCTAGGTTGGGTTAGCATCTAGCCGGTTCGGTATTGTTGTAGTGTAACCCTTTGTGTTCCCTCATCATTAGCATCATAGATACCTTGAGAGATACGTGTATCGCCCTTTTGTAAAGTTATCGATGAAATTCTGGTATAACCTGTGCATCAGAGCAAGAAAAAAAGACGAAAAATGGTGGAGACCTAAGTCTCAGAGCAAACAGCCCATGCCCTCGCCGGCGCCCCCCTCCACCCCGACAAACAACCCGCTCACACCTAAGCGTGCCACACCCTTCTGAGGAGCTCTGTCAAACCGACATCGTTCGTGTTGAACTCGTACACGCCCCAAACTGTCAGGCCGGTCGCCGCTCTCAAAATCCACGCCGTAATAGGACCAAGAATGGGGAACTTTCGGGGGTGGACATAGTCGACGACACACGCGTCGAAACCGATGTGGGTGTGGATGATGAGGGAGATGGCGAGGATACCGTCCATTATAGGCTACCCCACGATTAGCTGCAGCTCATCACTCAATTAAGCCGATAATGCCGGCTACTACTTACGTAGGCAGAGCCAGAGGAGACGGCGGCACCGACGGTGACAGGGATCAAGGCGGCAGAGAGGATACGCTCAAAGGCCCAGTGGTAGGAGCCGTGAGACTTGGAGGGAGAGGGGAAAGTGGTGGCATCGTTCACGGTACCCTTGAGGATGGCTATAGACGAATTAGCGGGAGCTCTGTTGGTGACTATTGGCGTGGGTCGATGGTGGTGATAGCGGCGTTTCCCTTTCTCCCTCTTCGATCTGACCATCCCTCTTCGCTCCCAGTCCATCCTAATGCCTCCTGTCTCCCTTCCCTTGATCCTGATACACCTGTTGTCTATCCCGGATAACCCGCCACCACCAGAACCACACGCAACCTCAACAATCTAACAACTCACGTCCTCCAGGAATGTACTTGAAGCCTCCAGTCTCTTCGGCGGACACCATAGCATCCCGCTTAGCAGAAGTCGCCCGCAAAGCCATAGGTCGGGCTACATGGGCGTTCACATCAGCGTGAGCACAATATGGCGATGGGCGGGTGGACGTACAAGTGCTCAAGGTTCGCCTGCCGAGGCCGAGGCCCAGGGCACGGAAGGTTGCTTGTGACTGTGCTGGGCGGAGGAAGGACATGGTTGACGGGGTGGATGATAGAGGTAATGAGCGCAATAGGCAAGACGCAAGTGGACAAGGCGGAGCAAACCGGGGTTTTGATAAATCGCCCTTCTCATTGGCCCACTTATTTGTTCCCGCAATCGGCCCCTATACATCCATCTATGCCATCGAGAGTGCATTGCGTTCTGTCTGTATTCCAGCAAAATACCAGCATTGATCCGGCCAATGCATGCATGTAATCACATCGCAAACCGGTCACGACCATATATCAGCCAATCAGATCTAGGGCGGGGGCGAGGGAATTGTACTCAGGTTGCAACTTGTATCTTTCTTTGGCTTCAAGCCTACCACTTACAGCGACAGCTTGTCATATACGTCTTGCATACCCATCTATCGCAGTAAGGAAGGCAAATACTCCTCCGGTACATCAAAGTCCTTCAACCCTTCTGCCTCAACATCCTTCTCATCTACAGGGTACTGCTCTTTGTCGCCCAACACGATGAACTTGACCCTCCACCGGATCACCCCGATCGCCTCGTCTATTCTCTGCCTCAACGCGCCCTTCGCCTCACTGTCGGACGATCCACCCGAGGTCGCTTCCAAAGCCCATCCCTTCATCTCCTCTCTCATCGCCTCCAGAATCTCTCGGACAAGATTCTCCTTCTCGCTGGTGTCCCGGGCGTGGAACGTCACCGTGATCGCTCTCGGTCCGCAAAGCCACTTGAAGAGTCCCCATTTCTCATTGATGACAAGAGAGGATGAGGCAGGGAATGATCGGCTATTGTGCCGGCTACGCAACAGCAGAGGCAGCAGGATCCCTCTGAGCCCTCTAAAGTCATTTAGAGGCAGTATCTGAGGCTGAGTAGTGGTTGCGTTCTCAAGCGGAACCATACCTCCCAGATCTATGGTCTGGGCTACACCATACTTCGCATCATATTCGAAATCCATGGCGGCGCCATCATCATCTGTATATTCCTTCGAGCCCTTGACTTTGAACTTCTGCTGTAAGTGATACTTGAACAGCCCGGTGCTGCAGAGCATTAAAAGGATGCTGAACGTGGACTCGTCAATCATGTCGCCCAATTTCCCATCGCTCGACTTGTACCAATGGTACTGGCGCTTGTTGACGAATCTGACAAATACAGCGTTCATCGCTCGAAAGGTTCGTGCAAAACCCTCCGTTAGGCCTGTAGCTTTGTGCTGCTCATATTCCTCCGCCATAGCCTGGGACGAAACAGGCATGATCTTCCAATCGCGTTTGGGGGGGGCATTTGGCGGTAAACGTGGAGTGCTTGCACCGCTTGTGGCCAGCTTGAGCGCCGCAGAGTTTACAGTGGCCCTCTCCAAACCAGGTCTGAAGGTGACCCTCGTGATATGGAAAGGATTACTCTCGCTGAACAACTTTCGCCCGTCAGGCTGAGGATATACGTCCTCGTTCAGATGATCAGCCCATCGAAGAGCAAGATATTTGACTCTGAGGATGGGTGCCTCTGCGTTGGACTTTGCGAGCATCCGAGTCAACTTCTTTCTCTTCTCTAACTCGTCCGCCGTAGGCTCGGGAGTGAAAATGGTAAAGTCCATGGTGAACCCAACCACGGACCTTCTCGGGGATATGCTCACTCTGATATTCCCGTCACCCAGATCCGCTCCTATCGACGAAAACATCCTGGAGACCAGGAATGCCTTGCCGATATACCGAAACCAATCAATCAATTGCCTGGATAGAGAGTCAAGGTGCTCCTCCCATTTGGGGGGTACCCCCTTACCGATATGCGCCCTTTTGTAGGACACAGTCGCTCGGTAGTAGGGCAAAAAAAAGCTCGCCACGAGGGACATTCCCCGCCCTTTCTTGATCTGCTCGTCTACCCACGTCCGGACGAGCTCTCTGATTTGTTCCGAGGTCATTTCTTTCCATTTATACAACTTGAGGTCTTCGCGCAGGTCGTCCACGTTGTATCCGGCATTGATTAAGAAACCGGCAAATTCATTGAGCTGCGCATTCGCCTTGCCGACTTTGGCGCCCGCCTCACTTGTCTTTGGGTTGACACATGATCGTTCTTCCAGGCACTTGGTCACATCCATGTGTTTCTCCAGCAACAACTGCCGAATCGTCTCACCGATGATCTCGGGTATCGGACCCGCCCCATCGAGCCATTGGTCCTTCAACGCCATGGCTTTGATATCGCTCCCCAACGTCTGGTTTAGAAGCAGATCTTGAGATGCTAGGTACTCTGCCTTCTCCATAAAGCTAAGCAGCTTTTGACTGAGCTTGCCTGTCTCTTTTAGCCCTTTCAACGGCGACTCTGAGCCATCGAGCTTGCCGTAAAGTATATCGTCGTCTCCGCCTTTTGAACGGGACTCATGATTTTTGGCATGCTCTAGACCGTCTTGATTATACATCGTGACCGGTGTATCATAGATACTATACACGTTGTAATTTTTGTTTTCCTTGCCTCTCTTGCCGCCATCGTCAAATTTGATACCGTCTTTGGGCGTAGGCGGACGCTTCCAAGTCCCATCGGCATTGCGCTCCAGAAGGACGGGAGTGGTGGGACGGCTGCTTGACGCAGATGATGGTGGGGCCGGGCTCTTCCAGAGCTCGCCTTCTGGTTTAGGTCGATCAGGCATGGAAGGAAGCTGAGGAGAGTCGTCGTCATCAGGTGTGGCCTTGGCTTTTTTGTCCTTCTTTGCCTTCTCCTCCTCTTCTTTCTTCTTCTTCTCTTCCTTCTCCTTCCTCCTCTTTTCCTTCTCCTTCTCCTTTTGCCTCTTTCGCTCGCGCTCCTTTTTGGCATTTTTGGCCTCTTCATTGTCAACGTCGTCTGTAGATGTGGGAGTTGTAACAGCTGATGTGTTTGTGTCCGAAGTACCCGTCTCATCTCTTCTCGATGCCTGCTCCGCCTTCTTTCGCTTCCTTCTGTCTTCTTCTTCCTTGTCTCTTTTTCTCTCGCGTTCACGCCTGGCAGGAGATGCGGCATCATCGCCATCATCCCGGTTGTCAACATCAGAACTGGTCGCGTCTCCGGCTGACCCCTCAGCTCTGGTTTTGGACGTCTTCTTCTTCAAACCTCTTCTTCCCGTAAGCAGCATGTACAGTGCTACTATGAGGAAGATGACGACGAGGATAGCCTCGGGTCGAGTCTGGCGGGTGACTATAGTAGCCATGGCGTGCAGTTGAACCTGATAGTCCTATCAATAAATGGGCGGGAGGAGCATCCCCGATCTGGTGGAGGTGCTTACTCAACGTTGTCGATGGAGAAAAGATAGGTGGGCACTCAACGTCACAGAGTGCTATCTGGCGGAAACGTTGTATCTTGAAGCACGGTGCGACTGCTGTCACAGTTGACAATGCATTGCAAAAGCCGGTCTACTTTACCGGCCGAGGGACAATAAAGGAAGTTCTCCAGCCAGTGGCTGACGTTAATCGGGTTGCTCCTTTATCTCCCCAGCCTCGTTTGGGACCATTCTCGGAAAATCCATGGTTGAGCGCAGCGCTATAAATGCATACAATGGTCATAAGATTCGTATATGGACACATAAGACAACGACTACATAAGTTTATACAACATAAGGCCAAGACTTCTACTTATACTTGTCACCCAACTCGCGTCTTGCAGAGGGATCAAGACTGTTTCGCATACCCAGAAGGGTCTTTGAGACGGCCTCGGTGGTACCGATCATGGGTTTCAAAACGGCGATAGGAACGGCTCTGACCACAGCCTTGAGAGGGCCCTGTACGATATGTCAGCAGATGTCCAGGACTGGGACGGCAAAACTCACATCATCTCCGGATCGCTCGTAAACCTCCATGGGAACCGCCAAGATAGTTTGAGCTGCCGCGTTGACATTCTTGGACAAGCTTGCATAGGCCGCCTGAACGCCTTCTCTCGCATTCTCAGGTTGGCTCGCGTAGCGGCTGACCATCTCACTCTCATCCTCGCTACTCGAGCCCGTCCCTAACAGTCCGCTATCGATCCCAAAATCATCATCCATAGGCAAACTCTGCGCAATGACCTCTTCGCCTGCCTGGCCTCCCAGCATGCCTTCGGCACGTTCGAGGACGACCTGTGTACAAGTGGCCAGTCGAGCACCAAGCTTCATCATCTCCAATGCTGTGGACTTGACAAAGCTGTTGGTACCCCTCTGAACGCCTTTAGCGATACGACCATCTTTGCGGTACTGCTCAATGGGCAGCAAGATCAGGTCTGCCACGCCAGAGCCGACGTTGACCATGGAGCGGATGGGAGACACCCCAGATATGACATCGGCCAATTGGTTGGCTTTGACGTCTGGTGTCCAAAGATCTTGCAATGTCGTCCCCAAGCGCTCCAGACCACTGATACCCGAAAGAGTAACATGGCGAAGGGTCATCTCGGCACCCTCAAAGTGGAAAAAGTTCATCAACTCGATGGTCTTTCCCTCTCGAAGAGCTTTGTAATCGACACGCTTTGGCTTGTAGTCCAGCTTGAGTTGAATGGGATATATCTCGACATGCTGGAAGTATGGGCCAGAGGAGGGGTGGGGAGAGGGATTCGTAGGTGAGGCCGGGGAGGGATTGGGCGGCTGTTGAGAAGCGAGGGAGGGCGCTTTGAAGCTGAAAAATCGCTTGAGGAAATCAAGCGCATCTTGATCAACGTGTAAACGCAAAGGAAGGATCTTGAGCTGAGGGACAGTAAGCAGATGCGGACGTTATGTTATTATAAGACGCACCCTCAGACGCAGTTCCTCCTCTCCTTCCTGAAGCCTCACGCCGACTAGCTCAAGTCGAAGCATGTCGGCATCCGTTTCTCGGATGTTGCCTCGATTGTCTGATTTGAGCTCGGTCAAGAACTTTTTCCAAGTCGACGTCTTGATATGATCGAGGATTTCCAGTTCTTTGGCTGTAAAGTGGACGCGAGAGGATGTCGCCTCTCCGGGTCCATAGAGGTCGACGTCAGCCTTGATATCTGAGACCGTGATCTCGATTTGAGGCTTCTTGGACCTCGTGAGCCTCTTCCCTTTCAGTTTGACCTTTTTGGCATGATGCACGACCCCCGCGCCAGCACCAACGCCAGCTGGTAAGGTCTGCCAAGAGCTTTGACTTTCAGTCTCCATGTCATCCAACTCTTCATCGATGGCAGCCAAGAGAGCTTTATCGTCCATCTTGCCCATCCCCATCCCAGAAAGGTTCATATCTGAAGCTTTTTGAGGATCCAGGCCGACGTAGACAGAGTTGAATAGAACGCTGCTGGCAGCGCGCTCGATAGATTCATCGGCCTTCTGGCCAGATGCGAGGAGCTGTCGGATGCGCTCTAGACGGCGACGAACGGCTCGAACTTCATCTTCAATGACCTTTCTGGTGCGAGACCAGTCATAGCCGTCGTAAAGCATGAGCTTGAGACTGGCCCGATGGACTCGCACGCGAGTCTTACCGGGAAGTTCGCTTCAGTGTTATCAGCTCTCTGATACCTCTTTGGAATGTGAGACTCACTCGGCAGAGAATCCATTGTTGAGCACTGGAAGCCCTTCCCAATACCCCTGCTCCTCTTGCACCTTTCCCGCAAAAACCCTCACGGTTTCGGCCTCTTCTCCATGGCCCCAGTGATCATCTTCTCCGTGTGCACCCGTGCTCTCCCAAGTCCGCAAGCTTTCTCCAGTGGAGCTATCCAGGCTTGGTTTGTGTTTCGGCACGCGGGTGGCGTGATCCAGGTAATCCAGGTTTTGAGGCAAATCATCATCGATCATGTCGGCATCGGCGTGCGACACAATTTCGGGGACAACGTTGAAAGCATCCTCATCCAGGGACCCTGTTAGAGAAGCGTTAGAACACAGATGCAGCTTGTCAAAAAATGTCAGCTCACCAAATACGTTGATCGATTCTTGGAGCGCTGGAGATTTGATGGGTACCAGCCTTTGTAAAATCAATTATCAGCATCGCATGTCATCAAAAGTCGTCACAAAATCGTCGAATTCAATTAAAGACTCTAGTAATTTCTAATACGAACTTTTCATTAGGGAAGAGCTTGCCAAAGTCGGTTGCGAGCTCGCCAAATGAGGCCAAGGAGTCTGCACAAGCAGTGACCTTGAATTGGGCATCGGTGATATCAAGCTTTCCGGGTTTGTCAGAACGTTTCGAGACGAGGCCTTGTCAACTTACTGATGTCTCACCAAGCTCCGCCATTCGTCGTAGCAACTGCAGCTCCAAAACCGTCACTTCAATCAGCTGAGCATGACCTGCTTTCTACTCGGCATGTCAGCACTGTGATCGCGCCGGCTCGCAGAGACAACGCACCTTCCATATGTCACTCAAGCTTCCGGCGACCTCTAGAGGTCCGCTGTCCCCTTCGATAGCCAGAGCACCCATTCCTCCGATCCCGACGTGTATCGGGTTCTCCTCGGCACCCCTCCGCATCTCTGTCCAACCCTCAACTTCCCTAGCGATGATGACGATTGATCCCGGCACGTTTGGCGGTACAAGTAAGACGGACGCCGATGACAAGCTGACACTGAGCTTGGTCACATCTGTCGGGGAAAGGTTCTCAAAGACTCCCTCGGGAGGCTTGATGAACGCCAGCAATTCGTGCAGCCAGATGATCTCTTTGTGAATCGCAAACGTAAAGTGCGAGAGGGTAAGTGAGATGTTGCTCTCCTTCATTGTCGTGAGCCGATCGGTAGAGGACACGAATCGGATATAAACGATTGGTGCTTGGTGGGAAGTCAGAGTGAATGGCGTAGTACGACCAAGAATACGCCTCGACGTCTCGGATGACACATCGGAAAAGTCCAAATCCATCACCGAGACGGTCAGCGCCGTCTCGTTCTTGACCGGGTTTGTCTCCATTCGCACATCCAGATCGCTTGCTTTGAGGCTAAACATTCTCTCTCCTCCTCCATCTTCCAGCCGAGGAACAAACAGCCCCACGTCGACCTCGTTGATTTCCACCGCTACTCGCAGACCCGCACCCTTCCCCTCTTCTTCCTCTTCCACCTCACTGCTCGCCTCGCTCCCTTTCGAACCGCCGAAAAAGCGGCTCCCAATCATCTTGAGCTCGTCCCGCGGCCTGGCAGACCCATCGGAGAATGTGCCGTCCAGCCAACGGGTAGTGTCATCCGCAAAGTACTGCAGACCGACGACGAGAGAGCGATGCAGGGACGAATGTATGGCCGGGATCTTGCAAGTGACAAGTGTTGTTTTTGGCGAGGAAGCGTCGGTGAGAGGGGAAGACGCGACGGTTGAGACAGAGACCGACGGGAGGAGCGGCACATCGTCTTCGTCCGGATCGGGCGTGAGAGGCGAGAGCGCGAGGAATGCACACGCATTACGCTGTCCTGCAGGCGCAAAGAAGAACAAGGTACTTTCAAACTCCACCTTTGCTACCTCTTTTCCTTGATGCCCGTTGTCGCGGCCATGTAGAAGCTTGACCCCCAACCCATGCACATCCACGCTAAAGATTCCAGACCTCAATCCAGACCCTTCACTCCATGCTTCTCTCTCCACCCCCTCGGGCGGCGGTTCCGGGCACCGCACATCCAGCCGAAGCATACTGCACCGAATTTCTGCCTTGGTGTTTGACGACTTTGAGGGAGAGGGGGCGGACAGGGAGGAAATGATAGACTCGGGAGTCACTTCCTGATTCAAAGCGGGGTATGATGGCGGAGCAGGCTCAGTCTTGTGGATGAGCGGTGTGGTAGCGCGCAGTAAAGGCAGAAGGCGTTCCACCAGAGACAAGTCGAGGAAAACATGTACGGGTAGCAGAGTGACCACCGCCGCTAACACCAAGTCAGCATTGCTCAAATAATATCTCTGGATGCTCACCTCCAGAGTCCTTCTCGAGAACCACCACCGGTCCTTCTTCCACCTTCTTGGCATCTTTCAAAATCCCTCTTCCTCTCTGCCTCACTTTCCACTGCCTCTCCACCCCAGACCTTCTCGGCGCGCGCCAGTCCATGCTCTCAAATTCAGGCATGGCCGACTGTCTGGCGCGCAAAGTGGGCAAGTCGTACTGCCTTGCCAAACCCGGGTCAAAGAGGACTATCGGGAGCGCCACGCCTTCTTCACTAGCACTATCTCTAGGGATGAAATGCTCGAGCAGCGACATGTCTTGGACAGTCACGGAAAGTGAAGTGGGCGCCGGGCCGAACCTGGCGTGTGCCGACGAGCGCCTCCTGAGACCAGCCGCCGCAGGAGCCGAGCTCATAGCGCACACTGGACGAGGTCCCGCCTGCCCTTGACTTGTGTATATCGCCTCCAGCTGCTCCAATTTGAAACGAAGGTGATTGAAAGGCAAGGACGAGGCCGGTCTCGCAAAGTGAGTGTCGAGAGCTTTGAAGAGCTGGGGAGACTGGGGGGCAGAGAGATCGTACACTGCGATAAGCTGGAAAGACTTGATACGGTTGATGACCGTCATGCGAGGTTGGCTTTTGGTGGTAGAAAGCGGTTCTTCAGTACTGGGCTCGGTTTGCGACAGGCTCTGCAAGGCACATATCAAGAGACGTAGTTGAGAAGGCAAGATGACAGCTGCGACAGTCCCCACAAGAACCTCTACATCAACCTTTGGTAAAGCTGACTGAGGTGCCGCCTCGTTCAAGAGAGGCGAGGGGCGAGTGGTACGCATGCGAAGCACAATATCCTCCTGGCCAAAGCTGAGGATGGGTGTTGCTGGTAAAGGCGATCTGGGCTGAGACTTTGCCTCGGGCGTGGGCGTAGCGGATCGGGAACCCTCGTCCTCCGTATCAGAGCTCGAGCTACCCGCCGGTGGCATATTTGGGATCCCCGACAGCCCGGGCTGCTCTTCGATAGCACTATGGAAGAGCGCGCTTTCGTACACACTCGGCTCGTCTTCCGATGATGAGGACGACTCCATAAGGGAGAGTCTGACGTCCGCCAGACTTTCCCGCAAGTCCGCGACGGCTTGAGACATGTACATGTCTGCCGAGTCGTCGTCCGATGAAGAAGCTTTCGACGAGCCAGAAGAGACTGAGGACGTGCGCGGCTGCTGCCGAGAAACGCGGGGAGAGGAGGGAGGAGGGAATGAAGGGACCGAGACAATGTCGACGCCAGAAATGCGAATTGATCGTGTGGTACACCCCTCCGCCAACTGCGCCTCGCTTTCATCCGCATACTGAACTTTGCGAATGCGCAGCTCAACTACGCCTTCCTCTTCGCCTTCAATCTTGACACGTATCACGACATTCTCCACCTTGAGGTCGAGCCTCGCCAGTATCCGCTCAACCATCCCCGCGAGGACAGTCGTGCTTTCGATATCTGCTGGTAACGGTTGCCCGGGGCTGATATGGCCGGTCGGTAGACTCGAAGGGAACCCTCCTGGCAGATCGCTCTCGAATGGATCCGTCTGCGACAAGATCAAGCTCTGTCTGATCGACCCCTCCAGCTCCTTCTCTTCATACGCATCCAGCTCGTGGTGCAAGAAATCATCGGCAGCGGAGGTAACCGATTCGGCAAGGTCGTGGTGGTCGGCGGCGGGGTGTGATGATGCCTTTCCGTGCGATAAAGGAGAAGGGGAGGCGAGGGTAAAGTCGAGTGTGAGTGTATCCAGAGATACGCTCAGGGGGTCTGACCAGAGATTGGGGAAGGGGAGGCGGGCTGTGAGGCGCCCGAGCGAGCCACTCGTCAGAGTGAGCGGTACATTGGGCGGGATGTAGCTGTTTATCTCCTGTACATTGATCAGCATTGGCCGCTCGCTACTTGTAGCACTCACCGCCGAATCAACCTGCAGCTCCTCGAGTTCTACCCGCCCCGCGCTGACCTGCGCTTGGATCCGTTCGGCATCCAACGCCTGATGGAGGACAAACCTGCCGAGCGTACGCTTGAGGACATAGGAAAGGAAGCGGCGCTGTATGTTGGCAGGGAGCGAGATGGAGGGGAGGGAGGGGAGGGCGAAGGGGATGGAGGTTATAAATGAGGGTAGGGAGAACATGGCATGGCGGTGGCGGATGACGGAGTGGACGGGGTGCACTCAAGTGACGGCGGGGCGGTGGCGAGTCGGTGTTCCGGAGGCGCGGTACCGGTGATGTGGTTACGATGGGCAAGATGGCCGACTGGTGTGGTTGTGGGCTGTCCTGGTATCCAGGATTGTCGAGAGCGGGATCAAGAATGGTTGTAGATGACTGGTGATGGACTTGATACATACAGCTTAGTAGCTTCCCTCGTCGTCTTCTTAGCTTCTCCAAATGGTGCGTGCCTCAATTATGTAATCACCTCGAGTGATGATGTTATCGATGTATAACCCCTGTTCTGCTTTGACACTGTCGACTTTGCGGCCTGAATGAGTTCCAAGGGCTCATTTGGATAGCTAACGCTACCCAGCTAATATCACCCTGGCATCCCCGCTGAGAAGGCTTCTTCACGGGCGTGTCTCATGGAAGGGCAAATGGTCGAATCATGTCGGTCAAGTCCCAGCGCCATGATGGATGCATATCATCTCATCATAACCTTCGTACGGACGCTGGCAAGTGGGATGGGAGCAGGGCTACAGGAGCGCTACGCCCGATTATGGTCGTTCAACTTGGGGGCTGGGTGCCACTGGGGTATCGCCGTGTATCGCCGGGATACGTAATGGGTGGCGCTCATGTGACGTGGTGGGCGGGTGCTGGGGGGTCGGAGGTTACGGTGTGCCCTGGCGATGCATGCATTCTCTCTCTTGCGCACGGATCTCTCATCCACATCTCCACCACCGCGTCCCGCCCGTCGCACCCCGCCGCCCCCCCAAGAGACACCGACACCCGGCCCCACATCGCCCAGTGCCCGCCCCATCCCCAGCATCCTTTGTTGCACGAACCAACCTTCCCTCATCCGCCTCTATCACCCATCCCCACCCACAACAGAGTTTGTCTCTGCCCTACCTGCCCACCAGAGACCACCCCCTGCCCTGAAAGCATCCCCCATCCGACGCGTCACTCCACTTGTTCCACTCAATCACTCTGCTTAGATAGGTAAGTCGTGTCTCTACTTCTACGTCGTGGCTGGGGATGCTTGGTGTGAGGATGAGGGCAAGGGCGAGTCTTGACTGCGACTGGAAGGCGCTACTGTCGCTGTAGCTTCGGGACCGACTCGATGTTTGCGCCATCCGCTATACATCGCGTCCGAGGAGACGATCGGGACTGTGAAAGGAGTCATTCCCACTCGGATGTCTTGTACGACCGTCCCATGCTGCATGCAGTACGCAGAGCAGATCGATTCGTCTCGCGTATTCGAGAGCCTCTTTGGGCTCCGCGTCGCCGGCCCTGGCTCTCCGGGCGGAGCTCCAAGCCTCCGGGTTTTGAGCTCTAACGCTCAACCTTCGCCCTCTTTTCATTCCCCAGCCTTCTTTTCCCTTCCTTGCTCTTGCATCGTTCTGTCTTGCAGGCATCGGCCATCCTGGCCTTTCGCCTCCTGGCGCGTGACGGAGTAGCGCGTTTCACCAGGAATGTGATTGGCGGAGACGGAAGCGGGGTCTGGGCAAGAAGACGCCAAGATTTCGTCCACCGACAGGTCTTGGTATCCCGCCATCGCATGACCGAGGTTGGCCATGGTCATTAAGCGTGCTTGCTGGATATTGGACCTTCTCACTCACAGATTCGAGATATGCAGTGAGCTGACCTTTAATATTTGTTAATCTTGGTCCTTCTATATCAACCTGTCCCCGCTGCCTCACAAACGGTCTTCCCCTCCATCGCAATGCCCCACTTTTCCAACTATCCGTCATGTTTCCCAATTCCATTTCATATCGATATCCTCGTCAACCTACCTGCACTTATCGACCCCTGACCAATCTCCCACTTCCTCGACCGTATCACTCGTTTGGCAAAGCAGACATCATGGCTGGAGTTGTGAATGGTGTCCGGGTCGCAAGTGAGTACTTCTTCTGACATCTGTTAGACTCTGGGACTGACTTGACCGTAGCCGACGACCCCAACCGTGTCATCACCGTCAGCGCCCAATGGGGCAAAACTGGCTCTGACACCACTATCAGTTACACCAACTGCAAGGCTGTTGGAAATGGAAGTTTTGGTGTCGTCTTTGCCGCCAAGATGTCTCCGGTGAAACACGATGAAGGAGAGGAGGAGCCAGAATCGGACATTGCTATCAAGAAGGTTTTACAAGACAAGCGGTTCAAGGTATGTAAGCTTCCCGCTCGCTGTATCACAAGCTGACATCTTCCAGAACCGAGAACTGCAGATCATGCGTCTTGTTCACCACCCCAACATTGTCGACCTGAAAGCCTTCTTTTACTCCAACGGTGACAAAAAGGACGAAGTTTACCTGAATCTCGTGCTCGAATTAGTCCCCGAGACTGTCTACCGGGCTTCCCGCCACTACGCCAAGCTCAAGCAAGCTATGCCCATGCTGCAGGTCAAGCTGTACATGTACCAACTCCTCCGCTCCCTCGCGTACATCCACGCCGTCGGTATCTGCCACCGAGACATCAAGCCCCAAAACTTGCTTCTCAATCCCGCCACTGGTGTGCTCAAGTTGTGTGATTTCGGTTCCGCCAAGATCCTCATTGCGGGTGAGCCAAACGTGTCATACATTTGCTCCAGGTACTACCGAGCTCCCGAGCTCATCTTTGGTGCCACAAACTACACCACCAACATTGATATCTGGTCAACCGGATGTGTGATGGCGGAGTTGATGTTGGGACAGCCTCTGTTCCCTGGAGAGTCGGGTATCGACCAGTTGGTGGAGATCATCAAGGTTCTGGGTACTCCTACAAGGGAGCAAATCAAGACGATGAACCCCAACTACATGGAACACAAGTTCCCCCAGATCAAGCCCCACCCCTTCACCAAAGTCTTCCGCCCCCGCACCCCCGCCGATGCCATCTCTCTCATCAGCACTTTGCTCGAGTACACGCCGTCGGCGAGGTACACGGCGCCAGAAGCGTTGGTGCACCCCTTCTTTGATGAGCTGAGGGTCGAAGGGTCGAGGTTGCCGAACGGAAAGGACATGCCAGAGCTGTTCAACTTTACCAAGGAGGGTGAGTGGTGTGTTTGTATTGTGAATTTGTGTGTGCTAATGTGTCTTTAAGAATTGTCGTCTCGACCTGACCTCATCCGCCAACTGATTCCTCCTCACACCGAGGAGACGCTTCGCGCAAACGGCATCGACGTCAACGACTTTAAGCCCATTCCTCCCGAGCAGCTGCGTGTCCACCTTGACGTGAGTACTTTTTTCAAGGTCGGTGATCACCCGCTGATGACTCGTGCAGTGATTGTAGGAGCGCTGTATAAAGAAATGAAATTATATACCCAACATCTACTCCATCCCGACTTTTTTCTGTCACCTATCGATCTCCCAATTTGCCCGTCTTCTCCGGTCGCGTCTCCTTTTCCTTATCATCTCTCATAGCATACGTGGTCAGTAGTCGGTCAATCCTGCCAACTGTCTTCCTCTATTTCTTTCTCTTTCGTTCTCGTTCTTACTTGTCTCCCTTGAACCAGCATACGTCCTCGTAGATCACTTTGGGGAACCTCAAGTAGATTATTCTATTATATGTAGCCTCAACCAACAAACCTGAGATGATACGGTGGGGATTGGAGTCGGAAGTTCTGGTCAGTGAAGGAGATGGAGGCTTTGGATGATTGGTATTTCTCTTAGATTCAGACTTTTGAAGACCGGAGAAAAAGGAGTGGGAAGGTTGATGGTACTCTGGACGAGAAGCGGGACTTGTATGATTCGGAATTTGCGCATGGATTGTGTCCTCAGATGTGTCTTGCGATTGCCCAATGTCGGTCGACAAGGAGTCAGACCATGTGAGTGGTGCATTGATGATGACTAGGGTACAATTATAATGCTGGGTATTCGTACAATCTGAACAATCCGATACAGCGCATAGGGCTCTGCCTTGCGGCCCTTTTGCAGGGTCGACTACACCCTCTTCTCCGCCTCTACCTGGCCAGTCAACCTATCCGCCAACAACTTTTGATCTTCATACTCTCTCCTTCTGCCTTCTCTCTCCTTGGCCCTGGACTCGGCCGATTGCGCCTCGAGCAGCTGAGGCGGCGGGGAGACGACGCAGGTGGTGCACTCGGGGTCGATCGTGGGGGCTGGTTGTGTCACGGGCGGGGATGAAGCTTCAAGTTTCAAGGCAGCGGCAGCTTTGGCGGCGAGACGGGCCTCGTCTTTGATGATACCTTGGCCCATGTTCTATCGAATATCTGTCAGTCTCCTCTCCCGATATGGTAGTGGTAGAGAGAGGAAAGAGATGCGTACATCGTACTCCCATTTTTGGAGGTAGTGGACGCCCCAGACTGTGCCGGCTGAAGCGGCTACGGCGGCTCCGAAAAATGTTTTGGCTGCTACAGACATTGCGCAGGGTGTTGGAGGATAGCAGAGCTGGTTTTGGAATGCAAGAGGAGAGTGGCGCACGGCAGAAAGCAGCAGCGCAAAGTGCAGAAATCAACATGGATTTACGTAAGAGACACGTGAAGCTGCACGGTTCGCGTCGAGCTGGCTGCTGGCGCTCGCTGTGGTCTTGAATGGCCTCGCGGTTGCCATTGTATCCATCTTTCGTCTTTTATCTCGTCAGCACCTGGATCATATCGCATAGAGCCTATAGAGCATCCTAGAGTCCAGAGGGATCCAGTATACACCCACACGAGCTGCTTCACAGACCACCCTCCCAGGCCCTGCTCGCCCGTCCCCTTCGCCACCATGTCGGGCAATAATATCAAGGTAAGCTACTTGGCCTGCTCCCCTGATCTCACATGCTCACGTCTATACCCAGGTCGTCTGCCGGTAAGCCACTCTACATGGACCTCTACCGCCCGAGGCTCTCCTGACCCGACTACCAATTGACAGATTTCGGCCCATGAACCGCATGGAGACCGAGGCCAAGTCAGACAGATGCGTGGAAATCAGTGATGATAGAACTGTCAATCTGAAAAATTCGGCGTCCCTAGGTGGGTGCTGGTCAAAGTCGAGTGAAATCTTGAGCTAATGCCAGTATAGCGGGGCCGGAGAAGGATGGTGTGTCCTTTTGCTCCCAGCGGTTTACGGATCACTGACGGCGTATCAGGCTTCACGTTTGACAGGGTGTTTGATACTGATAGCCACCAGCGTGACATCTTTGGCTGGAGTGTCAAGGGAATTGTTGATGGTAAGTGGCCCCGCTTTGAGGGTTTCGCTTTGCTGATGAGATGAGGCAGATGTGATGTCTGGTTTCAACGGAACGTTGTTCTGCTATGGTCAAACTGGTTCTGGTAAAACATACAGTGAGCCTTTTCGACTTTTCCGACATGGGATCTATACTGATAGTCCACAGCCATGATGGTCCGTCATTTCACGCACGAAATGGGCCATATTATCTAACTATGATCTAGGGAGCCGATATCGAGAACGAGAACACGAAGGGTCTCATACCTCGTATCGTCGAGCAAATCTTTGCTTCTATCATCGACGCAGACTCTATTGTCGAGTATACTGTCAAGGTCAGCTACATGGAGATCTACATGGAGAAGATTAAGGATTTACTCGCTCGTAAGAAGCTTTCATCTGGCAGTATGATCAGCGGCTGATAGCGCCGCAGCGCAAAATGACAATCTCTCCATTCACGAGGACAAGGTCCGAGGTGTCTATGTCAAGAGTCTCACAGACGTCTACGTCAGCTCCGAGGATGATGTTTATAGGGTCATGCAAGCTGGCTCCGCTAATCGTGTTGTGTCTGCCACAAGTGAGCTCCTCTGAACCCATTTGTTGCGACGATGCTGATGAACCCAGACATGAACGCCGAGTCTTCGCGCTCCCACTCCATCTTTTTGATCGGTATTCATCAGCGGAATACTGAGACAGGTAGCCAGAAAACTGGAAACCTCTACCTCGTTGATTTGGCGGGTTCTGAAAAGGTATGCTGCTCACTACCCTGGGAACCGTGACTAACTTGTGATGTGAAGATTGGCAAGACTGGTGCTACCGGGCAAACTCTGGAGGAGGCCAAGAAAATCAACAAATCCTTGTCGGCTTTGGGTATGGTCATCAATTCGTTGACAGACGGAAAAGTAAGTGCGACGTACGCGAGGGTAAATTGGACCTCAATCTCATGACACTGCAGTCCCAACACGTCCCTTATCGAGATTCTAAACTTACACGTATCCTGCAAGGTTGGCTGACCCACACGACCCTCTTTCCTCGCTGACACCTATGCAGAATCGTTGGGTGGTAACTCACGCACGACCTTAATCATCAATTGTTCCCCAGCCACCTTCAACGAGCCCGAAACTCTCGGTACCTTGCGCTTCGGTATGCGCGCCAAATCTATCAAGAACAAGGCACGAGTCAACGTCGAGATGTCGCCCGCCGAGCTTCGCGCCAAGCTCAAGAGGACGACTGCCGAACTTGCCGCTGTGCGCGGGTTTGCGAGTGAATTGGAGGAGGAGGTCAAGGTATGGAGAAGCGGAGGACAGGTCGAGCAGAGCAAGTGGACGGGGCCCTTGGCGGCTGCTAGTGATGCTGCGTCAGGTGCAGCTGCCAAGCGCGGCGTGACTTCGCCTCCACCTCCTACACCCGGCAGCTCGAGTGCAGCCAGTGGTAGTCGGGCAGGGACGCCTGGTGGGGGCTTGCTGACTGTGGACGGAAGTAGGCCTGATACGCCTACTTCGTTCGGAGCAAGCTTGGATAAGGACGAGAGGGAAGAGTTCTTGAAACGCGAGAACGAACTGAGTGATCAGTTGGCAGAGAAAGTGAGTACATGATCATACGGACAGTGATGCTGACGTCTTATAGGAATCAGCGTTGGCCGCACAAGAGAGGCTTCTGGCCGATCTGAAGGACGAGATTGCGTTCTTGAAGGAGGCCGAGTCTGGCATGTCTGAGGTCAGTCACTTTTCTACGTCGTGTGGTAGCCGTACCGATATATGCGCAGGAAAACAAAAACATGTCTGGCGAGCTCAACGAGCTCCGCATATCTTCCGCTCGCCTCGAGTCCGAGTCAAAGGACGCCACCATCACTCTCGACTCTTACAAGGAAAAGATTGCCGAGCTCCAGAAAGACATCGAGGACCAGAAAGCCCAGATCGAAGATCTCAAGCACGCGCAGACGAGAGAAAAGGAGGAAGAGAAGGAGAAGCGCAAGCATGAGATGTTGAGTGATATGATGAGCAAGATCGATATGGGTGGAGCGGTGCTCGATTCTTCAAGCGAAAAGCTTCGAAGTGTTCTCAGGGATTTAGAAGAAGCTCCCGAGGGAGAGATGAGAGAAAAGCTCTCTGCTCAGACTAGGGAACTCATCAGATCGGCGCTGGCAGAGAACCATGACGCTGTAAGGGGCCTGCAAGAGAGACTGAGATTGTCCCATGAGGAGGGAGAGCTGCAAGGGAAGCGCAGGTCGGAACTCGAGAAGGTGTTGAACAAGAGAGACGCTGCTTACGAGGAGTTGCTCGGTGAGTCTGGCCTAATGTCTCGAGGGCGAAGCTAATCATCATCGTAGACAAGACCGCTTCGGGGCAAGGTATCTCTCTTGGAGAGCTCAAGTCTCAGCTCGAATCCAAGTACACTTCGTCGGAAGAGCTTCTTCGTTCCGAAATTGCGTCTCTCACCGAGCACGCCGAGTCTCGAGCAAGCGATGTCAAGCGGTTGCAGAGCACTGTCGAGAGCTATAAGCTTTCGAACGAAGAACTCAATGTTAGTGTCTGGCTGCGTACATTTTCATCTATACTGACTATCAACATAGCGAGCCCTTTCTGCTGCCACTGCTGGTACCGACGGCGAGAACTTTGCCAACTCTGCAAAGGAGCTTGAACGCGCTAGGAAGGCTCATGAGATCCAATATGCCGAGTTTGACATTGTGAAGAAGAGCTTGATGAAGGATCTCCAGAACCGTTGCGAGAAAGTGAGTCCCGTGAATTCTGTTGTAGAGACTCGTACTAATCACTCAATAGGTGGTCGAGCTGGAGATGCAACTTGACGAAGTCAGGGAGCAGTACAAGATCATTGCGCGATCGGCCAATTCTCGAGCGCAACAGAAGAAGCTCGAGTTTTTGGAGCACAACCTCGACGCACTCAGCGGTGTCCAGAAGCAGGTATGTATAGTCCCGCGTCTTTCTAACTCATTGACCTTCTTGCAGCTGGTTGAGCAAAACACGATGCTCAAGAAGGAGGTCGCCGAAGCCCAGCGCAAGCTCATGTCCCGAAATGACCGCATCCAAAACCTTGAGGCCGCTCTCAGCAATGCCGACCAACGTCTCACGCAGAAGAATCAAAAGTACGAGCAGCAGCTCCAGCTCTTCAGAGAGAAGCTCGCCGAGGCGCAGTCGAAGCAGAACGCTACATATGCGCACGGCAGGATTGCGAAGCCTTTACGGGGTGGAGGTGGTGCGGGTGCGGGTGGTGCTTTGCAAAGCATCATGGGAGGCGGAAAACAGGAAGAAAGTCCTGGTGGAAAGAGACGTGAGTCGTTATACCTTATTTGCGGAATGATGCTTATTCGCATACTTCAGAATCATGGTTCTTCTCGCCTCAGCAACGCTGAACAGGTGTCGGTCATACTGTGGAGGGTTCAGATCGGTGTGGCAGCATTAGGCGTCCTCTGTGATAATTACGACTTTTGACGAGCGAGCATGTAATGAGGTTGGACACATTCAGCAAAGGCAAAGCTCATGCGCAGTATCTCTGCCAGATAGTGGACACCATGAATACAGAGAGAGAGCGTTGTCTCTTCTAAGGGCGGGTGGTTGATGTCACTCAGCGCCAAAGCATAAAGCGACAGCCGGAGCTGAGAAATCTGGCTATGCTCTTAGATCTGTAGCAAGCGGGGGTCTAAGTACTTCATAATAGATAATTAGACTAGCGGCGTAGGCTCTCATTACGAGGTATATGGGGCTGGATGGCTGATCATACTCGTGCGTCAGGCTGAGAGTCCTATGTCACATTCTTCTCTTTATGGGTACTATGTCTCCTAATCTTGACTGGAGCTGTAGGGACTGGCCTCTCTCATATTCAGACTTCAAGACCGCTCAGATATCAATAAATCATGTTCACAAGCCTTCGACAAAGTCACATATGATCTTTTCGGCCGCCGGCGTAGACGTCATCATATATTTTGCTTTCTGAGTGTCTGCTTTCTGTTCATTTCCGGATTCTCCTTTTCGATGATTCAGGCGCACAAGTATCGTCTCTGCGACTCGACTGCCAGTGTTCCGCGTAAGATCCCTCAGGACACCAATGACGGGTGCCCCACCGAGCAACAAGAGCGTGGGTCCACTTGTCACTGGCCACCGCTTGGACACTCTTCCCGACGACGTCCTGATTATCATCCTGAGAGACCTTGGTTTGGCCGAACTGGTCAACCTGAGACGTGTCAATAGAGACATCTTGAATAGAGTAAGCATCTATAATACGATGCGACATTATAGGCAGCTGATGCACTCATTTAGATAGACCACCTTGGTATACCTTTGTACCTCGCAGCCCATCGTCTCTCTCATCTCACCCTATCCCCTTTGCCAACACAATGGCTGCCGTATAATCTGGCAAAATATAACCACCAGATCTCTACCCGCCTCACCTCTCGACAATGGCATGCTTTACAGATAGGCAGAACCTGGTCGCAGAGCGTCATACCGACCCTATACCTCGACGCAGAGCAGAGTCGGCTTGTTTTGGCTGTAGGGGAAGATGTCGTCATTCACCCGTTGTATCGTCCACACCATGGGATGGGTGGAAAGGTGGCTGGGCAGGGCAGGGGTTATCCTATACGGTCAGCCGAGGCTGGGAGCAAGTCTGATGTGGTCTCCATCGTCGACCTCAAAGATGGTCAGGGGTCCTTGGCTATAGCCCAATTCGACGGCACTATCCGTCGCTTTTCGTTCCCAGACGACCCCCATTCTCCCCCCAAGGTAACTGCCCACTACCCTCACTCTAGCACTCGGTCCACCAGAGTCAGAAAAGTGGTTGGCTCTGAAGAAGGCGAAATGATGATGAGCACTTCTTGGGACGGGCAGGTATCCTTCTTGCATACGCGGTCCCCGTGGGTGCAGCCAACGACGATAAATGTGGAAGGAAAGGTCGCTTGGTCCAGTCTTCTTACAACCTCTCATCCATCACTGCCACCGACAGCAATGTTGGGCACAAAGACGGCCGTATCTTGTCACGCTATCCTCCCCTCTGGCCCGGCAGAGACCCCAGCAAGGCTCTTGAGAGGCCCAGATCTTCCTCACACAACATCTCCTTACGATATCCAGCTTCCTCCCCCTGCCTCCTCTCATAATCCCAACATCCTTTTATCCGCATGGTACGACTCTCATCTCCGCCTACACGATCTTCGCTCCCCCTCTGGCTCTCCTGTCATGACCTTCCAAGACCCCTTCACGTGGGCAGACAGCTCGGCGTTCTACTCGTGCTGCTTTACGGGAGAAAATTGGCTGGCAGGTGGAGGCGCGAGGCATGGCACGGTGGCATTCTTTGATATCAGAAACAGTACCAGAGGGTGGAGCTGTTTCTCGCCTGGGGGCAAGGGCTCGCCGGTATACAGTTTACAAGGCGAAGGTGGCAAGGTTTGGGGTGTGACGGAAAAGAGAGCGTTCGTGCTTGCCTACGACGGCTCCGGTGACATTCCCGAGGGTCTGGTAGCGAATGAAGCCAGGGCGGTCCCACAGAATCAGAGGGATAGAGGGAGGTATGCGCCCAATGGATACAGAGGGAGAGGAGGGAAATGGAACTGGACGGTCCGGTATGATGCGGATGAAGGCAACAAGGCAGTGGGATATGAGCATACGGACAGGGAGATCAAAATGTTTGATTCACTTGTTGCAAGATGATTAATGATATAGACTTGCTGTCATGAATAATGTCCCGGAAAAGAGTCACATGCCGCACAGAAAGAAGTGATATTCTTTTGGTAATACAAGAAAGAAACGAAGCATTTTCAGATAGGTTGAAATTTGAAGCTACTACTCTCCATCGCCCTTCACCACGATACTCTTGATTTAATGGCGCCTTACTCTTAATTCAATGGCGCCTGGGGTGGTCGCGATCCAGACGCATAGTTGTCACCTTCATCTTCAAGACCCTGTAGCCGATTGTCAGTTGATTTCTTCCAAACGATGAAAAGACTCACGTCTAATAACTGGTTTACCAGCCCATCCAACTCGTTGGCTGATACCCCCCCAAGGCCTATAGATATCAACCGCTTGTACTTTGCAATCTGCTCGCTCGTGCCGGCCTATCGCAGTGTCAGCTTGAAACCTAGAAATAGAAAGAAATACACACCTCGGTCTGGGCTTTTACAAACCTGTCCACCAGCGTTGCCCTCCTCTTTCTCTTTTCCTCAATCTCCCACCTGAGCTTTTCTTCTTCAGCTTGCACCACTTCCTCCCCTCCTGCTGGTATGTTCCTCAGACTCTCCACCTCCTTCCGCTCTTCCTCTTCACTCCCACTATTCAGTTCCCCGGCCTCCCACCTCTTTTCTCTTATCAACTCGCCTTCCAGCCATCCGACGTAACCCTTCCTCAAGGCAGCCTTGACCTTGTCTTTGACTTGGAATTGGAGTGATTCGAGTTCGCGTCGCTTCTCGTCCAGAGGCGCAGCTTGGGTAGAGATGGTGCTGATCAGACGGGTAGACTCGTTCACTTCCGTGTGAATGTTGGTGAGCAAAGCCTTGGCCTGGAGTATATCTCTCTCCTTGCCCTGCAGCTCGGCATCAAACGACCGCGAAAGAGAGGACATGTGACTAGAGATGTCTGCCAAACCCGACCCGCCACAGATCCGAGCCGCTTCGGAAAAGTAGAGCTGGGGGGCAAAGAGGGGCTTTTCGTCACCATTGGCGGCACCGGGCTTGGCGGAACCACCATTGGCGGCGGGAACGGGAGAAGATCGGAACCGTTCGTCCTCGAGAATGTAATCCTCGGCAGAACGCATATCACGGTTCTTGATTTTGGGATTGGCCCCGTGATCGAGCAACGCCTTGACGAGCCGCCTGCTTCGGGCACGGGCAGCAATCGTCAGCGCCGTCTCACCCTCTTCATCCTGAAAGTTGATGACATCCGCCAGCTCTTGCGGGTAATCCGAAAGACGGGCCAGTATGGTCTCCATATAATACTTGGCGGCGTGCGTCTTGCCCTTGGTCAAAGCAAGATTGGCAATGTGGTGGAACACGGTGCGGTTCTGTTTATCAATGTTGAGTGTTGAGCGATGTAACAGCTCGTACAGCTCGGGAAACTTGCGCATGTCATAGTTGTTGGAAAACATGACGCTACGCATGAGCGGTGTTTGCTCGGCATTGTTTCCGGCAAAGATGGACGCGCCTGCCGTCAAGAGCAACTTGACTACACGTACACGGCCCATGGCACAAGCCCAATGGAGGGCAGTGTGCCCGTCATCGTCGATGGGCGCGTTGGGGTCAAAGTCGGTAGGCGGGTTAATGAGGATCTGGGGTATTTGGGAAGTCTCTGATACAAAGTAGTTGAGGATGATGTCGGTATACTGTTCAGGGCCGAGAGGCTCCTCTGGCATACCCATACCGATATGTCTCGGTGTTCCTTGGGGCGTGTGCACCGCGCTGCTCCCTCGGATCTCGCGCAGACGCGCATAGTGATCCTCATCCTCCATCATCATCGCCGCTGACCGCTTCCTGGAGCCCACATCGTCCATGGTGGACGACATGGTGACATTCGGCAGCATCCCCGGCTTCGGTTGGTCCACATCCATATCATCATCGCTCAATTCCGTCGCCACAGGACTCGGCGTATCGCTCGACGAGTCGTCCTCTGGCGTCAGGCTCGTCCTCGTCTCGTAGGATCGGAAGCTCGCGTCCGCATCGGGGGTGGATTCATGCTTGGCCTGACGGCTCAGCTGGGCCTGCGCCTGGAGGGCAGCAGCACTTTGGGGTCCGGTACGGAGGGGAGTGGATTTGGTGGGACGTTCTTTGGGGGCGCGGGCTTTCGAAGGGGGTGCGACGGTATGCTTGGGAGCCGGGGGCGGTGAGACGGAGGTGGGGACATAGTCGATGATGGGGCGGAGCAGGTCCTCGACGCCATACTGCTTGGCGAGGGCGAGACCGCGTTCGATAGGGATCCATGTACCTGCGCGCAATGTCAACGACGCGTTCCGCGCGCGCGCAAATGAGGAAAAAAAGGCAAAACACGGGTAACGCGCCTCACCCACCGGCCATCGACCATGGCATGGATGCGGAATAGCACTCACCCTGGTACTTTCCGTAGCCACCCTGCACCTTTTCGTGCTCGCCCTTCTGCACTTCTCGTTCTAGCACGCGCGTACGCTGGGGTTTGTCGAATCCCGCGACTTTGAGAATCTGAGTCGCGTTGAGGTACGAATCGGATCGTCGGCGCATGACGGCGACATCGCGGCAAACCATTTCATAGACGGGTCTATCACAACGTGTCAGCGAACGGCCCTCGATGCAAGTAGAGGATGCTTACACTCCACTGCGATACAAGAAAGGGGTGGATTGGTCAGTAGAGGGAAAAACAACGCAGGCAAATGAGATGGCGCGTTTCCGCGTCGAAACGTGTGGCCCGGAATTTCCAAACTCACCTATACGTCGCCTGTACACATCTATAGTCAGCTTTCTGTCTGCTACGCGTCGAGCATGCTGCGCGACGGGCATGGACGCACCTTGTAGATTGTATTGGGGCCCTGGTCGCCGCCGGAGGCGATGACTTTCTTGCCCATGGTGTGTGGTGTGGCTGTGGGGGGCAAGGGTCAAGAGGGGGAAATGTTAAGAGGTCAAGAGGGATGTTCACGTCGGACAGTCTTGAACGTTGAGGACGAAAAGACTCAAAGAGCGAGGCGACGCGCGCGTGGTGGAGGGAGAATTCATCGGCCACGGGACCATTTTTTATTTCCACGCCCCCTTTTCCTTGTTTTTATCCAGCCCGTGGCAGTGGAGGTATCACCGCTGACATTTTCCGCCTGCCACCACATGCACTATGAAGATCTCAAACACCCTCCCGCAGCATCTGTCCTACAGAGAAGTGCTCGACCACTTTATCGCCCTCAAACAGGAGACAGATGCCCTCGGAGAAGCTATCGCGCTCAAGAAGGCGAGGAACAAGGCGCAGATGAAGGCGCGCTTCCCGCTCGAGAGGGATGACCCGGAGAAGCGGGACGATCCGGCCCTGCTAGAGGAGATAACGGAGGAAGAGGAGGAGCAGCTGCAAATCGCTGCCCGGAGAGGGGCGAGCGACGAGTTGGTCTGGATAACGGACGAGGTGAGTCCCTAGTTTACAAGGGGGTGTATGCTGACGGTATGTCATAGGTGATTGGGTATCTCTGTTCAGATCTTGTACCGACATCACTACAGACACTCGAGGGGATATCACAACTAGCCGACGAATTACAAGATCATCAGCTCACGAAAGCCGAGGTGCTGCAGATGTGCAATCTGGCGCCCAGCGAGCCTGTGACTCTCTACTCTGTGAGTCTTTACTATAACTCTCTCGGGATGGCCTGACATTCTCTGTAGATAATAGAAGAAGCAGATACCCGATTCTACCCTGATCCTGCAGCAAAGCTCGACGAAATCGGAAACCAGATCTACGCCACACTCCTCCCCACCCCTCCTGAGGAACTCCTCCCCTACATGCCCGCGCTCGCTGAAGAGCAAGCCGGGGAAGGCTTTGAGCCAGGGTATGTGGAGGGTGATGCGGACGCAGAGATGGAGATGGCAATGATGGCGGAAGAGTATGTGACGGAGACGGGGAAAGAAGGAGGTGTTGATGATGATGCGGATGAAGCGATGGATTAGGGAGAGACTGGAGTGGGAGTGTGGGAGTGGAGGCAAATATACCCAGCATATGTATACCCCTGTATGTCTTTTTTTCCTGATCAGAGCGTGCGCGCCTCGTGGAATTTGTCACCTGGGCCAAAAAGTGGATGAGGCCAGCTAACCTCGTGCATTGTGCGAGCTGGCACCCATTCGCGTTATCAGCCCTCTCATCAAATGCTCAGTCGTACAAGTTCTCGACATCAGTCCCAGCCATCAATATATCATGGGACAATGCGCCTCAAACGTCACTTGGGAGGAACCCCATCAACATGGTGGCCCCTTCAAACTCTTTGTGGGTGCTCGTCTGCAGCCCGTCTAAAGTGGCTGACATTGGACCAGTCAATGTTTTACGACCTCCACGACCTACCTCCCTGGGAACCTTCAGTACTCGAACAAAAGATCACTAATCATCCCAGATTCCACAAAGGTACGCCTTTTACCACGCACCATCCCTGCCCCTCAGGCGGTCCCTGACACCATCCCGCCCGCGCAGTTGGCCCCGTCAAAGTCCTCGTCGTGCGCAAGCCCTCGGGAGTGCACGAAGTCGAGTTTCGGAAAGACAGACCATGGCAAGAGTCGGATGTGGCGGCGTTGGACAAGTCGTTAGACGACCTGCCTGGCAAATGTACGTCCTCCCTCTGCCTTAAAATCCTGCCCCTTGATTGGACACTCTTCGGCAGACCACTGGTGGGGTCTCGTCATGATCCGGCCTCATCTAAAGCGCACACAAACGAGGAACGAGAAACCACCCGAGGTCAAGAAGAAGACGGAAGGTGTTGTATGAATCAAAGGATGTCTTACGTCATGTCCATCAACCGCCTCGTGCCCTGGAACACACTGCAAGTCTCGCGCTTTCTAGCATTATCAATTTTTTACAAGTACATCTGTTATAAACGTGTTGGCTGACGTTCTCATCACTCACCCCTGACAATGCTCACCCTCAGACCCTTCCAGGACTTTTCAAACTCCATGCAGGCAAGTAACACTACAACATGTATCGGCAGGGGAGAGGAATACTGACTGTTATTCAGTGGCAAACCTATACTTATAATGGACCTCTTACGCCAGAGCTGGAGCAGGCGTTCAAGAAGGAGGCCTCTCGCGCGTTATCCAGATGTATGTCCCGCTTCAACTCGAGTGCGGCTCACTGACAAGATTCGTAGCCTCGGGGACACCTCTAGGGTTCTCAGTGTCCACCTCGGTGACTACTGTCAATGGCGTGACTCGGGGTTCTACAGAGTTCCAAGTGGGCAAGGGCACTGCATGGACGAGCGAGGAGAGGCGGAATTTGGATGAAAAGTTTGGACGGCTGGCGCCTGATGGGCGCATGATTGGGTACGTCGCCATATGCAAAGAGATGAATGGGGCTGATACATGGGGTTAGACCAGATGGGAGACCTCTTTACCCTCCTAACGGCCCTCAAATTAAGGAACTTGAAGATACCCCCCACCAGCCCAGAACCATCCTCCCTCCCCCAAGCGCCGCCCACACCCATACAGCGCACAACGCACACCAGCCCCAAGCCGCTGTCCCACCCCACGCCCACGCCCCAAATGCACACACTGTCGGAAGCAGCGCAGGAGGGACGGTCCATCAACAGGATTTCGCTTATGCCTATCCGTCGCCGGTCAGTCCGAAGGGGGCGGGGTATCAGGATGCTCGGACGGGACCTCAGTCTGTAGTCTCCACGACATCTGGGAAGAAGAGCAGTCGGCACAAGACTAGCGATGGCCAGCAGCCAGGCTCAGTCGCATCGGGTCATGGGCATCAGGAAAGACGTGGTCTTGCGGCGGCAGATGCGGCTGGCAGAGGGCACGTTCAGCCATCATCGCATGGCCAAGGACATGCCTCTACTCAAGGCTCTTCCCGGGTTTCTCAAACCGACCCCCATCATCACAGTCCTGCCCCTCACAGCACTGCGCCAGCACTTGCCCCCATTAATACCAATCCTGTCCACCCCTTACACCCTAACCATCACCACTCGAACCAAGACCACGCGCACTTTACACCCACGACTTTGGACAAGAAGCATGGGCATCTCGGTGGGATTTCTTCGTATCCCGCTCAGCCTACTGTCGTTGGAGTAGGGGTCGGGGGCACCGAAAAGCCACTACCCCCACCCCCCGAGGCGCATACGCGTAGTCGGTCGGAAGGTGGGGGTGGAAGCCTCAGAGGATGGTCCTCGAGCTTCAGGGCGAAGCGAGAGGGCAGGACGAAGCGGGAGGGTGCTGTATGATGCTGTTTGTGGTCATCTGTCTTGCTGCCGTTTGGCTCTTCTTCTTCTCCTCGACGTTTGCGGCTCGTTCATCATGCCTCATTCTTCACCACATTGCTTGTTCGAACAGTCAGTGCTGATGCTTGTACTCGAACTGGCGACGAAGCTTGCTGCTTTTTGTCTCGACTTGTGCTATTGGCTATGCATATATAACGAACGTTCGTTGGCCGTCTCGCCACTTCGACCCGAACCTCTGCTACAAACATCTCCTGCCAACACCGAATCTTACAAACTACTTTACTGCACTACTTGAGACACATACCAACACGCCACTAGACAAACCTCATGTTCAGATCCAAAAAGAATCAGCGGAGTCCGTCGGAAGAGCAGAGTTACCTAGACGCCGTCTTTGCAAAGTTGGGCAAAGGACGGATACTGGGGTGAGGCGTTTCCTTGCTTCTCAATCGTTTGGTTCACGATCCTACAATGCAGAATGCCGATGGCTGAAACAGTGAGGACAGCATCCGACCCACCACCACCGCCACCACACCCGCACCTATCCCCGCCTCACCCACCACCCAACGTCATCCAACAACCCCAACCAGACCTGCAACCGCTCGTGGCAACCACACCCCCCAAGCCACCAGTCAGTCCCAACTCCGCCACCGACTATTCTCAACTCTGCCTCCCTGGGCACAGCACCCTGTACAGACGAGCTTCCACTATCCCAACAGGGCGCACCCGACTGCTGTACCTGTACCTGTATCCTCGCCTGCGCCTCGCCAAAAGGGGCCCGGGTCGCGTCATGCGCATGTTAGTTTCACGCCGTCTACACGACCTGAGCCGCCTTCTGTAGCTACCCCGGCCAAAGAGGGCTCGGGAACGGGCACGAAGGAGGGTGAAAGTGAGGGTAGACGTCACAGGTCTGCTACGATACCCGGGACGACGAGGCCCGCGGGGGTGCCAGCCCCTGGCGAGGTAAGAACCCGCCATCGTGCTACTAGCCATGATAGGGGTGACAAAGTGAAGAAAGCTGGGTGATTGGAAGAAGATACGATACCGGGAGAGTATGCGAAGGAATGATAGGAAGTAGTTTAGCCACATACAAGTATGTCAAGATGCACTCAGAGTTGTCATGTTGTGTGATACATAGCTCGTCTTTTTGGAAAGGTTACTGGATCATTCCCTGAACATCAGCAACTCTCATTACCGTGTCGCAAGTGTACGAATCTATCTTCTCACTCGAGTGAATACATGCATATAGCGGCAAAAGCAAGTCAGGGTGACAAGCCATACTACTCGTCCTCGTGCAGCTAGTCTCATACTAGTACTACTACCACCGCCACCACTGCACAACATGATAATGCCTGACATCTTATGCATGAATAAACCCTGACCCACCCTGCCTTATGCCCTGTCAGCACGGTAACAACATTGGCGGATGGCAGTAGGAGGCTGGAATCTTCAACGTTCAATTACCAATAGAGAGGCTGCGTATGTTGTGGGTGATGGCGGACTTGACATCTCGTGTTTGGTTCTCTTGTGCCACTGTTTGTGTCGATGACTTCATCTTGCCTCTTGTTTCGCCACTTCTTATTGGCACTTCCATGTGTGTTGGGGATTAGTTCACTCGTTCTGCATCAGCAATACATATAAGCGGTCCTCGGAGGCCTCGGACGACCCAGCACTCGCGACTGCGCTTTCAAGCCAACAGTCTTCACGATGGCGACTCGCACTATTCAAGCTCCAACCAGGACGCGAACCAGGCAGACCGACCAGTTGACGGCAACCAAAGAGGAGTCGGAGGTTGCTGTCCCGCCTGGGCGAAAGATTCGAGACTCTTTCACGGGTGCGTCTCCAATTTGGCCCTCTTCTTCTCTGGAAAAGTCGTTGACCCAGGATCTCTCTAGGTATCACTTTGTGGTCCCCATCCGAAGAGGACGTGAGCATCTCAATTGACACCTGTTCCAAGCTGATCTGCACAGTCCCACGTCTTTGACTACCATGGGATCCTTGCACCAGACCTGCTAGAGCAGCTGCAGGACAAAGCTATGCGGAAATTACGTCTTGGTAAGTACATTGCCCTCTTCTTTCTCTCACCTGATTTCTTCCCTTCGATTGTTACTCGTCTGTCACCTGATGAGCTGCAGCTGACACTATACTCTCCCCAGATACTAGCCTCTCGTTCAAAACTGCCGCGATTGCCCCGGATGGCTATGTCGTCAGCGGAAAGCCAAATATCATCACCAAGATCGAGGTTTGTCGAAAGGGCCGCTGGCGGGAAGGAGAGACACGTCTATTGGATGAGATATTCAGAAAGCTGGGTGGAAGGCGAATGTTTGGGTAAGCGCTGCTCGCTCTTACCAGATCCAAGAATATAATGACTGAATATCCTGCAGTGAGGGAGGTCGAGTTCTTCCTAAGAGCTCGTCTACTCGGTCTGGTCCCGTATCCCCTGTATTCGCCGATCCTACGAGAAGCTCTAGTTTGGAGACCGTAGTCGCTCGTGAAGAACCGAGCCCTGACCGCCCGAGGAGAATGTTGGCGAGAGAAAGGCAGATGTCTAACACGGAGAGGCCTGGAGTGCCCTGGACAGGGCAGCTCAACGCTCAACCTTTCCAAGCTACTCCTCTCAATCAACAGCAGCGGCCCCGCGCGATCTCGGGCCCTTCGTACAACGGCCCTCCGACCGCTTTTCCCACACGCCCATCTCAACAAAACACTCCCCAAGGCCCTGTCCCCATGCCGACATACGCTGCCCCTACCAACCCCCGGGAGCAACATATCATGGCCCAGCTTGGAGAGAGGGCCCAGCGGATGAAGGCTGCTGACGCTCAGCAGAAGCTGTCTCCGCCGTCTGGCCCTCCTCGTCCTCTCGAAGGACAAGGTTCTCCGCGTCGACCACATATGCGTGCCCCGCCGGCGGCGAGTACTGGTGCGCGAAACCTTCAACAGTTTCCACCTCCAGCAGTTGGAGCGACGGAGATGGGTCGCCAGCCGGCATACAACAGCGAGGCTCCCTCGAACGCTCCTCCGTATCAGCCTGTGGCTCTTCCTGCCCAGCCCGCCCCTGTTGTTTATGGCCTCCAGCCTTTACATCAGGGCCCCGGCACCTCTCACTACACCTATACATTGACGCCTCACGAAGGGTCGATACCTCCTCCTGGACAGCCCCAGCCCCAGCTTCGAGTGAGGCAGGAGGTGCCTCCTCCCCTAGCCGGCCAGGCCCCACCACCTGCCCGGGACTATGTCAGGAGACGCGGCATGTAAGGGAATGAAGGAGGGAGTGTGGCATCATCGTGGTGTGAGATGAGACGAAGTTGAATGATTTGCGAAGGGCGGGCGGCGAGAGCCATGTTGATCTTTGAGGAGGAGCAACGACGCAAGTCAGTTGGTCAAATGTCAAGAGAGATAGGACAAAAAGTGTATACGAAAGTTCAACGATAGCATCATATGGAAATTGTATCAGTTGTACTCGTACATAGCGATACGGTCGCTCAACTCCCAAGCGCGATAGCTTGTCAACTCAATCAGTTCGCTGGCCTGTACCATCACCATTGATGCTATACTATCCCTGCTCAACAGGATCAATCCAGCTTTCGCTAGTGCACATCCGGGCATGCCACCACGTTTTCCATATGTGTAGCAGGAAACCTCCCTCGCTTCAGAACGCATGCGTCTGCGTCAGACGGACGCTTCGGTGATATATCAATCTTCTTCGCCCCTTTTACGCGCACGTTCATTGATATAAGAGTGTTATCGGGGTCTCTATTCCCACAACAGATCTACAGCAGAATAACAGCCTATACATATCTTCGTGCTACTGATCTGAACGACTCAACAACACAGTCCCTCCTTGCGGATCGACATGAGTGCGTCTTCCTTTCCCCGATCTCACTTGCGGATCCTCTAGAGTCTTTTCCCAAGCCTTTGCCCTTATTCAATGATGCTGACAAACATCCCACATAGCTTCATCTTTATCATACTCCGGTAGATATCTGCACGTAAGCTTGTGTGGTATTTGCCACCAAAGATGCCTGACGTATCGTCTTCATGACTGACAACGGACACAGTCACGCATCTACGACTACGACGGTCATATCACACCTCAAACATCAGCTGCTCTTCAAGAAGCGGCATCCAAAGCTATTCTCCAGGGTGCGTAACGCGCCTATATACACGTTTCGTATTCCAACATCGATCTGACGTTGGATGTATTCTCCAACAGCTACCGGCGCTCGAATCGCCATCACAATTACACCGCTCATCCACCCCCATGTCATCGTGCAAGGCTTCCCACTGGCCGTAATCAGGTTTGAAGTAGGCAAGTTTAGCCCGTGGACGGCGCAAGAGATTGGGGTGGTAGATGAGGTTTTTAGGGTGGTTGGAAGAGGCCGAATTGTTGGGTAAGTCAAGGCATCGATCTTTCGTTGCTGCCTTCGCTTCTCGACAGTGATTGAAGGAACTGCTGGCTGATGTTTGTTATGGTAGGGAAGAAGGGGTACGCCTTCAGCTCGTCAACGCTCAATCATTAGCCACTGCAAGAGCGCGAAACCTGGCGACTCCGTACCATCACAGCGCCCAAGCAGTCGATAGTCGCCCGCCGAGAAGGAGTCTTCGTCGCAGGGTTCAGATTCTGGCGGGACGGGGTGCTGCTGCTATGGAGCCTTCAGCACCTATGAGGCCTGGGACGCCTCATCCTGATGGTAAGCGAAAGAGATAAAGACACAACGGGGGCAGAGAAGCCGAAGATGTACGCGAGTTGAGGGGGTCAAGGATACAGCAGCAGTAGAGAGGGTCTGTCTTGTGTTGTGTATACTGAAGATGGTGGTGAGACGAGTTGTATCTGATTATGTACAAGTATGTTTCTGTGTGACGTGACCGCGGGCAGCAAGAGCAGGCCCTCCAGTCTGAAGCAAAGACATGGCGTCTCGATCTGCCACAGCTCCTTTCAGCCATGTGAAGGCAGCACCGTCTGCTGCGATCCGCGGGGCATGAGGGTCCGGTCCATTGACCATGCCTCCGGCATCATGCTCTCATTGTGTCCTACTCGTATGATATCTCAAGGCTCAACTTTGACCGTCGAGAGTGTCCTCCTTCGCTCCCCGACCAACATTCTCTCACTTGCACCTCCATCGCTTACCGACTATATTCAAGACCGCTATGAACACATACCTGGCATTGTTTGAAGAGTATCGGGGAGTGAATTGTGTGAGTCATCAACGAGACGAGCAGCAGCGGTCCCGCATGATGATGGTGAACTCACAAATATCCGTAGTGCTACACGTATACTTATGAGGGTCATCTTACTTCTGAGCTGGCAAAGGCTATGCATCGAGCAGCTTTCGAAACATTTGGTGTGTCTCTCTCTCCTCCAGAGGCACGCAACGCAGTGGCTCACGAGTTGTATCCGTCTCAACATCACCTCGCACAACTCGCTAGATGCTCCTTTGTACTTTGGCACCGTCTCATACCCCGAAAGTACCACAGGTATATTTCAAATTCGCAAAGACGTCCCATGGACTTTGGAAGAACGGAAAGAGTTTGAAGATCGTTTGACAGGGCTGGTATCCATGGGACGCGTGTTTGGGTGAGTCTGGAGTCCTGGGGCAATTATACTGGAGCTCGAATGGATGATATCTGATGAAAGAACGCGTATTATATCAGGCCTGGTGGAAAGCGCATTGACAGTAGCAGAGGAGCCACGGAAAAGTCGGACTGTGGAGAGCAAGCCTCCTCTTGGCAGAGGCTGTGGGGTAAGCGTGTGTGAAGAAATAGCCGGGATATACTATGTCAGGGTTACTCCACAAGGACAATACTACATGTATGATGAGAATGGGAGATGATATGTAGAGACAAACGCGTCTATGCATACTTGTTGCAGTCGGAGAGTGCCGGCGTGTTACATAATGGGCGCGTCCTCGCCATCCGAGCGTGGCTTGACAACGTACAAGCATCTTAAACTTATCTTTAACTCTCTCTCGTATACTCCCTCGACGCTCCTTACGCCATGCAACAGCCATACTCCGCCAACACTCAACAGCAAGGGTAAGTCACTCCCCTTGCTGCTGCCCCTCGCCGCTGACTGCTTTCCCAGTGCCGCCTACTACCAGTCCCACGTCTCTCCTTCAACAGCCGCTGCCCATCACCTCAGCCTTCCTTACCTCCACTCCCCAGCCAATGGCTCTTCCACCAGCTTGCTCGACGCCGTCGTCGGCCACCAGGCCCATACCTCTCCTTCCATCCCCAATACCGGTCTCCAGTCTTCCACCAATTATCCCTCCCACCCTGCTTCTGTCCGGCCGAACCCGCCTTCGTCCTACTCGCAGGCCTTCAACAACGTATCCAGGGATCCTTCCTCGGGTGCGTCGAGCCAGTCCCACGGGGGCAGCTCTTTGGGCAAGGTCAGCGAACGGGGCGAGAGTGACTGGGACGTGGTGAGCGCGAGTGAGGGTGGCGCGCGAGGGCAGGGAGTCGATGAGGAGGAGGATGAGGAGGCGGTCAAGGATCTTCAAGAGAAGGTCGCCAAGCGGTGAGTCCCCCGGGCAGAAAGTGGTCATTGAGGAACTGATTTGTTTCCCACAGACGATCTCAGCTCCCTCGTCTCGAGTCTCAGCTCGCCGACCTCGAAGCCCAAATCAAAGCTGCCGAAGACCGTCTCGCCCAGGCGCAGACCAATCCCCAGGGTGGTGCTCCCGTCCGCCAGTAGACATCTTGCCGCAGAGAGTTGCCCCATGTGGGGCTGCTTTCTGGCGACGATTCACGATTAACGAATATTCCATCCCTTTCTCATCATCTCTTGTCCCGACTGTATCATACGGAATCCTTAACAAGCTCTTTACCTTTTCCTTCATACTGTATCCATCATTGGCGAACCGATGCATAGGACAGATTCTATCCTCGCGCGTCTGGCCACTGTCAAGTTTGCGCGTCCTTTGTGGTTGCTCCTGGCAAGATTGCTTATCCTTTCAACCCAGGCATCAGGTCAGTAACATATATACGATCGCTCACCTCCCTCACGTCTACAAGCGCTTCCAATTCTGAGCTCTGTGAGCGGTACACTCTTTTCAAACCCACAAGGATGCGTCTCTACAACCTCGCTCCCCTCTTGCTGGCTGGCCTAGCGTCGGCTGGCCTTTTCGGCGGCGACAGCTCTACCTCGGCAGCAGCCTCATCCACGTCGACCGCCTCTGCCTCTTCATCCTCCGACACCACCTCGTCCGAAGTCGCCTTCCTCCAAACCCTCCAATACGCCCAAGTAGCCTCCATGTCCTGCCTCATCACCCTCGTCAACCTCACCACCACCCCCCTCGGTACATGCCTCGGCCTCACAGACCTTGCTGATCTGGTGTCCAACCCGGACCAGAACACTTCATTCAGTGATCAATTGAATACTTATCTGGGGACAGTTTGTCAACAAACTTGCAGTGATTCGGATTTGCAAGAGGGGAAAGCCATGTTGGATGACAAGTGCGATACGAGTAATGTCCTGGTCGGAGCTTTGGATAGTATCATCGACAACTACTCCACCAGCTACCGGACCTTGGCTTGTCAAGTGCACTAGCAAGTCTCGTCCTTCAAAGCGCACGAAGCAAGCTGATGGAAATGTAGTAACGGCACATCCGATCTCTGTCTACCAGCCACACTCAATGGCTCTACCACTGCCAATTCGAATACCTTCTTTGATGCCCTTGTAGCGGGAAATTCCACGACGCTGGAGGGATATCAAGATTCTGTCTTTACGCAAGCAGAGTGTACGGGGTGCATGTACGAGATGTTCAAAGCTGCGTGAGTCACTTTTTTCTCGTTGATTTCCAACTCTGATTGACCATGCGCAGACAATACACCATATCGAGTATTCGCGGACAAACAGTCACCGAAGCATTCGGCAACCACCTCAAAAACGACTGTCCTTCCTCCTCAGACTCGACCACCACCTCTACCAACGGCACAGCAGATACGAGCACGATCAACTGGAGCGATGTGGACGGCACTGTGGAAGACTGTCTGTCCATCTCGCGCCATTGATCGTCCTACCAGGTAACAATTGGCGATCAGCAGTTTTTGCGCTGCGATGGAAGACCTCCATAACCTCCCAGCTGAGCTCGCAATTTTTGATCAATCAATCCCACCGAAAGGAAAATCGCTTGAGGAAAAGATTTGCCGTTCATGGTTACAAAGGAAAAGGCGCAGAGTCTTCGTGTTTCCGGCCGGTGGCATATCCTTGAAGGGAGAGCCGATATGAGATGAGATAGCAAGCAATGACAGTGGCCGCCGTATGCGATTGTTTCTCCGAGGAGAGGACCCGGGAGGCCGCTCAGGTCGATGAGAGCGCAAGCGAGCCGGACGATAGAGCCAACTCAATGTCAGTCTACAAGTAGGTCGTAAAGTCTCTTTCCTATGACGGCTATGTCACGGTCAGTAGTGCGCGCAACGGCTACATGTAAGATCATTGCAAATGTGTCATGTGGATAGAGAGAAAAGAAAGAAAGCAAACGTAAACTTCTACAAGAGAAAACGCAAAAGCTAAGCAAAGGCCCTCGTGACCGACGTGCTCACAGCATCCCTTCCCATCCTCTTGCCAGGCCGGTCCACCCCCACCCCGCTCCACTTCGCTCCTCTTCGACAAGCCTGCCATCTCTACAGGCTGCTTCGACATCCGCTTAACACTTAGCAGCAACCGCCGGCAGTCTTCTGCTCTACGCCTTGGCCAAGACCCTTGATGGTAGACTTGGTGTTGGGGCCGGCACCCATGGTAGATGATCCCATTCTGCATCATCCGTCAGCCCTCTATCCACACCCTAGATATGGTACTCACCGGTCCTTGATCTGCTTGGACATAGTCAGGAAAGCTTGCTCGACGTTGGTAGCATTCTTGGCAGAAGTCTCGAGGAAGGGGATGCCGAGCTCGTCGGCGAAAGCCTTGGCCTCGGCGTATTCGACAACCTTCTTCGTGGCAAGATCAGACTTGTTACCGACGAGGAGCTTGTTGACGCCCTCAACAGCGTATCGGTCGATTTCTTGGAGCCATTGCTTGACGTTGGTGTAGGTGTCTAGAAAGGAGTCAGCTTGGCTCATACACCGAAAGAAGGACATACCCCGGTCGGTGACATCGTAGACTACTATAATACCGTGGGCTCCTCGGTAGTAAGAAGAGGTGATGGTCCTGAAACGCTCTTGTCCAGCAGTATCCCACTGTGAATATACACAGATGAAAGAACATCGGATATTCACAGACGAAATGGCACCGAAAGTGGCCAAGTCGTAATATATGCCAACGTCCATCATTTATTATGAATGTCCGGATTACGGCGATGAATGGATATTCGTACAAAACCAAACATGGTCGCGATTGATACCAAAACGGCAGAGACGGGCCCGATACGCGAAAGAGCAGAGGAACATCAAACCGAGAGAGGAAAAGCCGCAAGAGAGAAAAGCGAGGATGGCCATGCGGGAGAGATTGTTTCCGATACAGACACAGAGGCCAAATGTGACGTGTCATGCGTCAATGCCGATGCCAACAACATGATTGGGACAAGTCGGGGAAGTGCCAGTAGTCGCGGAGTACAATTGCCCAAAGAAGGTCGAAGAACGCAGAGCAAACGGGAGAGTAGCCGGACACGAAAGAACGAAAGCGAGCGGCAAGAGGCAAGGGCGTTGTTGAGAGAGGTCGAGAAAAGAAAGAAGGAAATCGTCAGCAAAAGCATAGATTGATTGTCTGCTGGTGCGCCCAAGAAACGGAACGCACGATTTGAAGCTTGACGGTCTTTCCTTCAAGCTCAATGGTTCTAATCTTGAAGTCAACCTGAGTGGAGTGTCAGTCACATTCCAGAATAGGCTGCGAGTGGGCGTGGAGATGAGATGCCAAGGTGCGGCCCTTTCATAAGTATGGTGCCATTGGCATGCGGTTTCCGCAAGGCTGGGCACCTCGTGTGAAGATCAACCTTAGAAACCGGCACGGCGCGCATCTCTCCACAATAAACACAGCTTCAGGCCCTCAACTCCAACTCTTGCGTTCTTCCCGCCATTCCCACATCCAAGCACCGCCACGCCCTCGGGGATCAATCGGGATGACTCACGCCGATGGTAGAAATGTAAGACTCGGTGTAGGTGTCGTCGGCGAAACGGAGAAGGAGACAAGACTTTCCGACACCAGAGTCACCGATGAGGAGGAGCTACAAGTCGCGGTCATGCCCGTCAGCATTGTCACAACAGCATTTCGAGTTTCTAAGAGTACTGACCTTGAAGAGATAGTCGTATTCGGGGGCGCCGGACATGCTGTCTGCGTATCTATTGATTGGTGTTACTATAGTCGCAGAGATACACGATCGGCGGAAGGCGGCGAGTACACAAGGGGAGGTCGATTGTTATTGTTGACGGATTGATGGCCGATTTAGGGGCGGTACAATATTAAGTCGTGTTACAGGTCGAGATGGCGTCGAGTACAGGAATTCAGTATGAAAGAGACAAGCAAGGTCAGTATTGTGCTATCCTTCCCAGTTGCTGTGTACAGGCCGCGGACCATCAGATCGCTGCACGCGCCTCCTTATCTCCTGCCGTCTTGGCTCCCTTCATCTCTCCCTCTCCGCTAGGCGCCGCCGTCCTGGGGTCCAGGGGAGTGCACTTACAATGGGTAGGTAGGGCCGAGAGGGGGGCTGGTAGAGCAGAAGGGGATGAAAGAGGAGATGGGCGGCGAACACAACTGCTGAGCCACCGTGACGTGCGGCCGCGGCCATCCTCAAGTGGGGGGCTCTATTACACAACCGCATTTCGCGGTGTTTATGCGTGTGGCACTGTGCAAGGGGTGCTGCAGCCTTGGAATCGTGCACTGTGTTCTGTAGCACCCTACTGGCGGACTTGGACTATGCGAGACTGTCAAGATGTAGCAGCAGGAGTCCCGGGATGAACTTCCATCGCCCATCCACTCGCGCACGATGCCACCAATGTCCCCTTTTACATGTCTATATCCAAATACATCTCGCCAGAAGGTAAATTAGAAAGGCTTGTCGCTGTCGGGGGTGGTCTGTGAAGGGGGGGTTAGTTGGTACTTAAAGCAAAGCTCGATCGCGACCTACGTCAACCCAATATTGACCGACCTGAATCAAAAGTCAGCATTTGTAGACAGACTGAAGCGATGGGACTTACAACGGGGACCTTTCGGAGAACGTCCTTCTGGAAGATAGGAACTTCGGAGAGGAGCAAGCTGACGAACGAGCCGGCACCGACACCCCAGAAGACAAGGCTGGGACCCCACTTGCTCAAACGCCTGAGAGTTCAATCGATTGGGTGAAGACAAGGGCGAATAGGCGAAGCGATCGTACAGCGGTCAGCGATTATTCCTCCACAAGCTATGCTTCCCCCATTTCATACACTCTTCCCTCCTATCTCCACCGTTCTCCAGAAAGACCAAAATGTTCAGACGTACTCGGCAGAAAGACCGGCGAAAGCCTACGAATGTCCAATCAGCATGATGCCCCTATTTCGCGCGTTGCCGCGGACAAGACCAGACTTACAATTTGAGACCTTCGGGTGAAAGCGGGCATTGCGATGATTAATGAGGGTGGCGGAGATGCGTGAAAGAGAACAAGAGATGGCGAGAAAACACGGACCAAACCGTCGAACTCTCGTTGGTCCTTTCCAGCTTACGTAAATTGTTCTGAGGGCAACAGTTAGGCACAGTCAGTATTAGGCGCGCAGCCATACACCTCAATGCTGGACTTGCGTGAGTTTGTTTGGCTCGCTTCTTGAACAGCTTCTTGTATACCTTGATTCTGCAACACAAACGGCTCAATCCCCCTTCCACATGACCCTTATACTACGCCCTGCGCCACAAAATCATGTTCTCCCCCGCCTTTCATCTTGAAAACCTGCCGAGTTCCTTCGGGTGAGGGCTCCTTTGTTCCTCTCAATCAGCCGACAAGATAGACTGCTTAATCGCTCCTGTATCAGTCGCAGAAGGCAATTGCTGTTCAGCGCTCAAAGGCATAGCTCGGGTTCAGGATCCATATATGAAACCGATAGTTTATAACCTCTCGTCCCAGCAAAACCCACCCCAACCGACGATGTTTGCAGTGCCTTTCGCCTTGCTCATCTACTTGTTTATACTAACAGTCGCCACTAAAGCTCAAACGACATTCAAATTGACAAAGCATAGCACCGGCGCCACATTTGGTATTCTGCGCAAGATCGAGTCGTTGGGAACCGGCAGTAATAGGCGGAGGGATGTGGAGATTGATGGGTCTTCCAGTGGTGGAAAAGGGTATACGATCGATGTGAGCTTGAATGGAGGCTCGAGTATACCTGTACTTGTGAGCTCCTCTGTACCATTACTTGCTATATACTGACTGTCAGCTTGACACTGGATCGAACCAATTTTGGGCGGCGTCAACAGCATGCGACTCGTGCACCAGCGGAGGGATGCAAAGCAGTGGACTAGAGGCGGAGTCAGGCTGTGAAGTGTACGGACTAACATACCGTGAACTCAAAGTACACTTTGCCTGGATGGTCGCTGATGGCATCAAGGTATCGGCAGTGTGAAGGGGTGTATCGTGGAGAGCACGATGGCGGTTGGGGAATGGACCGTCGACAATCTTCATGCCTTGGCTATCAGCTATGTCGATGATGATATGCTTTGGGAAGGATCATTCATGAGGCAAGTCGTTAGCTCTTCAGTCCGACCACTGGCTGACATCGGACTACAGCGGGCTTTGGGGTTTGGCTCGAGACGTAAGCCGGCTTTGACTCGATGTGTTCATTGCTGACTCAAGTTTAGGGTGCAACGGTCGATGGAGCGCCAACTGCAATCAGTCTTATGTATTCTCAAGGCCTGATAGAGGCGCCGGTCGTTGGATTCTACCTCGGGCGAGAGGGTGATGGCACCGAGAGTAAGTTGATAGTCCTCATTCAGCTTTGTTGCTGACCCCGGGTTTCAAGGCGAAATGACCATCGGAGACGTCTCTTCTATGTATGTCATGTCTATGCTCACAGGGCACAAACTGATCTTCATCGTAGTAGCTACGCTCAAACAAGCAAGAAGGTGACCGTCCCATCTCGAAACAACACCTACGACTTGTATCAAGTGTCTATGGATTCGATATCGGTCAATGGCAAGACATTGGAAAGCGATATAGTCGCCTACATTGACACAGGGTAAGTCCGATCCTCCTCGACTCCTGGACAAGTGACCTGATGCCCATCCAGATCTACGGCCATATCCACCCCCGAAACGCTCGCCGGAGAGATATACATCGCCCTCTTTGACGGTATAGCCTACAAATACGGAACGTCGTACATTGTACCATGCGAACCTCTGACCAACGCCTCAATCGCTTTCACCTTTGGTGGAGTAGCGTTCGACATGGCGTCCGAGGACCTTGTGTGAGTTGATCGATTATTTGTCTGATGTTCATAGCCTCTGACTGTGCTTAGTGGGGATGATATTGCCGATAATTCTGGTTGGTGTTATGGCCGCTTTGTTTCCCTCTACGAAGGTGAGACTTTCGAGCTAGGATAACATGATCATTCGCTGATTGTCATAATAGGCGTCGATTATATGGTGATAGGCGATGCCTTTCTCCACAACGTTAGTCGTCACCATCCTACCAGCCACATTCAATTATCATGCGCTTACGTTTAGGTTACAGGTTTATCATACCGTCAATGTCCAGAATGGGGACGTCACATTCTACGCTCTTTCGTAAATCGCGGCTCCATTCGGGACCGTTTACCAATGTCAGTATGCACTCTTTCTATTTCGAGGCCACCCCGTGAGTTTCGGATAATCTGGATCCCATCCTTTGTGACCACACCTTTCCTTTCGCGCCTTCGAATGTGCCCAGTATGTCGCGGATATCCTTTCACTCTCACTCCGCGCTCATCCTGAGTCCCATAAGGGATCAACTCTGACAATGACCCCTGTGGGAGCTCTCACGCCCCAAGCCTATCATTGGCTTGGCATACCTACCTCTCAGCTCCACATCAAAGACTCTACTCTGATCTCACCTTTGGTCGATTATCGCTCCCCCCGCAGATTCCTCCAGACCGCTCCACTTGCTGAGCAGGTGTATCGTAAAAGTGGCCTACATCCCCAACAGTCTCTCTCTTCGACACCAACGCTCTTTCAAACCAATAGCTTTTGCTCTTTTGCAAAGTGCCCCTCCTCAAGTAGACGGATCGTCATATCGACACCCTAATCAACTCACAAGCCATGCGGCTGGTACCCTCACTGCTCAACCTCCTGGTTCTCCTCACCTTATCGACTTACACCACCGGATCTTCGGCAGCATCCGTGCAACTGACCCGCAGAAGGACCGGACAAGACCACAGCCATGTCGTCAAACGGCTCCTCGCAGACTCTTCGGCTCCCATCTCGCCAAAAGCCAAGACTCGAGGTACTGGGATAGGGCGAAGAGGGATTGTGAAGGGGACATATGGCCCTGCGCGAAAGCCTGTGCGCCGACAGGAAGATTCGTCTACTGGGATGGGCGCTTCGTCGGCTGAGCCGAGCTCAACAGCAGGAGGCGAGGGTGGTGGGGCACCTACGTCGGCAGACTTAAGTGCCACTTTGGCGTCTACTACCAGCTCTGGTGCATCGACGAGTAGCACGGCTCTTGCTTCGAGTGGAGAGGCCTCGGAGTCAGCGGATACCTCGTCAACTAGCGTCACTTCCCTCGACCAACTTTTGGGAGAATCGTCAAGCGAGGCTTCAGCACCTTCCTCTACCTCCGCCGAGCCTTCGACGTCAGAAACGACATCGACTGCAGCAAAAGCGGAGTCTTCTACATCGTTGGGCGACACTACCTCAGACGGCGCATCCCAAGAGGCATCAAACACGGCGTCATCTCAAGAGAGTACCAGCGTCGAGAGCAGTGCAACGATAGCGGCCGAGTCTGGCGCCGAGAGCGCTGTTGGCTCTGAAGCAAGTACGGCAGAATCGTCGACGTCAGGTTCCACATCAGCGACGGCAAGCAGCGTTTCATCCTCCGGAACGGCCAATGTAACAACCACAAGCGATGCAGCGGCGACTTCTACCACATCCGGTGCTTCTGGATCCGGCACGCAATCGGGAGGCTCTGCGACTGCCAGTCAGACAAATTGGGCTCAGCCTTCGGATACCGATGGATCTTTGACAGGTGTGATGAGTCAAGGAGATGCGATAGTGTATGTGATCGACGTGGCCGTTGGGGATGGAAGTGTTACGCTGCCCGTTCTGGTTGACTCTGGGTAAGTGCAAGCGTATCTTGGAGTGTCTCAAAGACTGACGCCTTCGTAGGAGTGCCGATATATGGGTTGCGGGGAGCAATTGTGACAATTGTACATCATCTGGTATGGCCGACAGCGGTCTTACGGCGACAGATAACTGCCAGGAGCAGGAGAAGGGCTATGGTAAGACTCTCTACTCCCAATCATGAGGCCGCACTGACGTACGTGCATAGGGAGTGGCTCTGTGACGGGCTGTCTCGTCCCTACAGATGTGAAATTTGGTGATGGATATGAGCTAGAGGCATTTCCAGTATTGGTGGCTTCTGATTCGGAAGGGTTCGACGGGTCTTATATGAGGCAAGTTTCATTATCCCTCTCCGAGTTCAGGAGTCGCTAACAGAGTCTTTCAGCGGTATCTTTGGGCTCGCCATGAATGTAAGCTGTCATATCAGGTGCTAAATGCGTGAGGCTGACCGCATCCAGAAATCATCAATCAACAATCAGGCCACGCCGCTGAATATGATGTCTCAACTGGGCATGATTTCGTCCCCCGAAGTAGGATTTTATCTCGATCGCGCTGAAACTGGGAGTGAGATCATCTTTGGCTCTCCACATGACGAGTGATTTATTCTCTCCCAGACTCCAATACCATTGTACTGATATCCGATAGCAATCACGCCGATCAGAGCAAGAAGGTCACTCTGCCGAAGGTCACTGAGGATGATGGATTGTATCGCGTGACCATGGACGGTTTCGTGTCCCACGGCTATATGGTTTCGAGTACCGAGTCGAACGTCAGCATGGAGAATATCGAGGTCATCCTGGATACTGGGTGAGTCTGGTCCTTCTCTGTACCGTGTACTTGACTAATCGACCCGCCAGAACTTCTGATATTCGAGTCCCGGAGACGGTGCGTATTGACCTCCGTCATAAGAAACATGCTCAAAGCCCCTCAGATGATGTTGCCGATATACGCTGCTCTCGGCAACGGCACTTTCTTCACAGACACCACTACTGGAGACCTCGTCGTTCCATGTGAAGGTCCCGACAATGAGGATGAGGTATTGGCGCTACAATTTGGCGGACAACAGTTCTATTTCAAGTGGGAAGATCTCGTGTAAGCAAAGAACAGCTCGAGAGCTCCGAGTAGGGAAAACTAACACTTGACAGTGCCAACCCAAGCTCCACGGATGCCAATTATTGCTATTGCAGAGTTCAAGCCTCACGTATGCTTTCAATGTTGAATGACCTCATGAGGCACTGCTGACGTCTCTGGTTTTCCCTAGCCTCTTCCATCAGCGACTACCTCATCGTAGGCTCAGCGTTCTTCCACAATGTATACCACGTAATCAACATCGACTCTGGAGACACAACACTGTATGGGCTGGCGGACGCCTCTTGAAATTTTGAGTGCAGGAAGTGAAGAAAGGCAACATCCTAGACGGAAGATAGAGAAGCAGAGTCTCGAGAGACTCCATATCATTGTTATATTTCGCGCATGTAGTACGCCTTGAGACGCTTGACGGAATGGGGACTCAAATCCGTGTATCAATAGTCATACATTGCATACATACGACTTACATGGGCAATCTCCAACCCACACCTCATACCTAATCAAGCTGTCTCTCCCAAGAGGCGACGCTGCGAACAGGTTGGTCTTCTACTGTGCGCGCGAGTCACGACCGCGCTCCGTCCACTCAGTACACGCTTGTGAGTATAGACCTGACGACGTTGCCGCTACGGCAACTCATCCTTTCACGCCCCACCCCATTTCTACTTCCACCGCCCTTTCATCCAGCCAAACAGATCTTCAAGGAGGGCTGTAAAGAACAAAGACCCTATCTGAGACGCCCTCCCACACTTCCCTGTATGATAACTCATTTTCACGGTACGACATCCTTTCACGTCGTCAACCAGCCAATCGGAATATACGTCGGTGGCGTTGTCGGAGCTGGGGGAGAGAGAAAAAGGTAGCTTATCGCGCCATTGCTCCAAGATAGCTTATCATATGGCGAGCTCGTGTGGTTTTGCGAGTCGAAAGAGATAAGGTGTAAAGTGTAAAGAAGGCCATTTTATTGTCCATACGCATAATAGCTATAGAAAGACAATTGTCGTCGTCTTTTGTTTTTGTATTTGCCTTGTCATTTGTCTTGTTACTTTGACTATTTGAAGGCGGATTGAATTGTCAGTGATTGAACGATAGCCTGGCAGAGAAACACCAACTTACCTGATGTCTGTAGACGATTCCAATAAACCTCTGCTCGCTTGTAGAAACGCACACCGGTTCACTTGCCACCATACTCTACTGTAATCCAATCAACCAACGACCACACTCACTCACTATATCTCCACCACCATAACCTCACTGTACCATGGTCATCGATGCCGACGCCTACATGGAGGGCAACATCCCCTCCCTCTCCCGAGGCGGATCCTGGCTCCCAGCCTCACACCAAACGCACAACGGCAGCAGCTCGCCACTCTCCCCTCTGCACCCCAGCTCTGTCCACGGCTCGTCCCCTCTCACAGCCATGTTCCCCAGAACACCACCAGGACCGTATGGAGGGTCGATCGCCCCCGGGCCGGGGCCGTTGATCAGGTCGCCCGGCATGCTCATGAGTCCCGGATCGGCATCGATGGGGGGGTCGATGTATAGTGGGAAACCGATGTTGAGGCACTTGCATGGTGGTATGGCGGCGTCGACCGCTATACATGGGCTCAAGAGGGACCATGCGGTGAGTCCGAAGAGCCATACAGGGTGGCTGAGGGCGGGGTCGGAGGCAGATGATCGGTCGATGGCTGGTTCTGCATATGGCGGAGGATCCTTTGATGGCCGCTCGCTCGTCTCTGGGGCGCAGTCCGTTTCTTCATCGTCTTCATACCATACGAGGCAGTATAGCCACCATCATTTTGATGAACATCTTCCGGCTGAGAAAGGGAGGAGTTGGGAGAAAAATGAGGGAGCGCCGAGATTGATAGCGAGGGAGAAGGATTATGGATTGAGGAGGGATCCGCCGGTCAAGGTGGATGGGAGGCTGAGGAGAAGCTCAGAGGTGGGGGAAGTTGCGACGCCGTACAGAAAGCTAGAGGTGCATCAGGTCCAGCAAGGCGCAGAAGATTACTTTTCGAAGAGTCACACACCTTCACAAGGGGTATTGTCGCCAAAGCCGAGTAGGAGAAAGGCTAGTGATCCTGATCTGCATCGGTCAGCTCAGCTCAATTCCAGGCTGGCGAGGTTGAGCTTACAAGGGAGAGAATGCCGGACGCCTGATCCTGAGCCTTCTGCTGGGAAGCGGCCTACGGTGAGTAGGAGGCATACGAGTCATCCTCACTCGAGCGGCAAGTCGCAAGCGCCGTCTTCTCTGCCGCTCTCTCCTCCGGTGCACAAACAGCTCCATCAGATCAAACGCACGCGACACAATTCTACTCCACCACCCCCAAGCTCCATCACAACTTCCTTCCAAGACAAGGCGAGCGACGTCGACTTTACACTGCAGCCAGCACCGGCGCCTCGCTCACGAGCGTTATCTCGATCTGGAAGTGTGGCTCCTACATCCGTCAGTAGGCAGTTTCCAAGACCTCACGTGGGCACGCCTTATAAGCCGGCGGTATCTGCAAAAGTCCCAATGGGTTACATTCCTCCTCTAGCAGACGACCCCTATGACCGCTATGCCTCGCACCCGTCCTCGCCGACCCCGGACTTTGTCGAAAAGCACCTCGCCTCCAGCACCTTATCGCCATCTACTTTCTCTACCTCCCGCCAGCGCCCGCCCCAGCCAAAAGCCGAGAAGGCAGGCGAGTACACTCCTCCAGGGTTTCCCAAAGCGACCAAGGATTTTCCGTGGAACCGAGACGGGCCGGCGATGAAGACGTATGGGATTGCGTGGTGCAGGGATGGGGAGGCGGATCAGCTGCCGTTGGGACCCGAGGGACCGAGGTGGACGCAGGCGAGGCCGCCGAGAGTTGATCACACCATGGGCGGGGGCTGGTGGGAGAGTGGAGGCGAGGACAGTGTGGTGTGATGTCTGTACTAGATCAGTTGTAGGAATTCGGAACGCCAGTTGGGTGAGATCATGCAAGCAGTGGCAACGTCATCCAGAGTCTAGCATGCCGCTCGGAATGTTGAGTGAATTCGGAGTGTGTTCGCGTGCTGGTGATTGGCGGCGAGTATTCGGAGTGCCACGTGGGAGATTTCTGGAATTGTGCCTCGCACGCAATTGTTGATTTCGGGATTCTTATGCGGCGAATCATTTTCCAGCTATCTCGACATTTTCAGAATCCTGCATCTGCATCTCAAACATCTCCCATCTCCACCCGCTGCACGCAGAACCCGGCACAGCACAGTAAGCCTCCCCCCTCACCCCTCCCGCCATCGCTCACCCCCGCAGATGTCTGTTCTTGCCGCTCTCAGCAGCATCCCCTCCACCTCCTACTCCCACCCGATCGAGGCGCCCCCTGCCAACGCCCACAAGCTCAACCCCTACCTCCCCCTCCCCGCGTCCCCCTCCCCCACCGTCCTCTTCACCAACGCCACCTTCCTCCACTCGATCCCCACCTCATCACTCAACAGGACCGTCGTCCATGTCTTTGGCGCAGAGGAGATCGTCTCTCCCAAGGGAGCCAATGCTGTCTCTCTGATCTCGAGATCAGCCCAGGGCGCGTACGACCACGCTTTGCTTGCCCTTCGATTGGCGCAGGATGAGGACGCTGTGGTGTACCACTTCATCCCCTCAGGACTCGAGGGAGAAATTCAGGAGGCGGAGGATGTGTCTGCTTGGCTCGCCGGCTCTTTGGGCACTCCCAAGATCGCCCAGGGCGAGGAGGCCGAGGTCTCTTCCGAAGTCAGGCTCGCTGCCGCCTTTGACGCTATCAGCTTGTCCCTTCTCAAGTTCACCCGACGACCCCAACGACCCTTCATCCACAACAAGGCCGAGTCTTCTCGACTCGTCGTCAACTTCCTCCCCTCAGCTGTCGAGGCTGAAAACGTGGTCGAGGTCGTCCTCGCTATCCCCGCTCCCAAGGAGAAGCTGAGCTCTTCTTTGGCTGGTGTCAAGGAGGTCGTCGTTGTCGAGGCCGGTAGCGGCAAGTACGGCCCCGCTTGGGCTTCTGTTGTCGATGCGCTCGAAGAATCGGACGTTTCCATTCGATCGGTCTTGGTTGGAGCTTCTGCTTCTTCCTCCGAAATCACCTCTGCCATCTCTGGAGAGGCTCCCATCACCCGAGTTGGCAAGCCCCTCTCCTACTCTATCCCTTCCAAATCAGTCGCCATCCCTTCACCCGAGGCTACCTACACGGAGCTCCTCGCGGCTTCCCCTTCACCTCTCGAGATTCTGAACGACCCTCGACACCTCGCTACCAACGAGTCCACTTCTCCCCTTTACGCTTTCGGTAAGGCCGTTGCCATCCGCCGAGACCGAGCTCGACTCGTCGAGCTCGCGAAAAAGGTGCTCAAGGGCGCCAACACCAAGCCTGCCGTGCACGAGGCTCTCTCTGCTTGGCTCTTGGTCCGTGATGAGAAGAAGGGCGCTGCCGAGGCTGGACAAAAGGTCGAGGCTGCTATTGGTTCCGCCGAGGGTGAGGAGAAGGAGATTGTCGAGTTGGGCAAGAAGGGTCTTTGGGAAAAGCGAGCGCTTTGGATCGTCATCTCCAACTCTTGGGCTGCCGACCTCGCCTCTTCTGGTTTGCACCACGCCCTCGCCTCTGGTCTCGACATCAACCTCCTCGTCTACGAGACTGCCGCCTCCCCCTTCTCCCCCAACGCCCCTGCTCAGCCACCCAAGGAGCGCAAGAAGGATCTCGCCCTCTACGCTCTCAACATGGGTGACGTCTACGTCGCTTCCGTCGCTGTCTACGCCGACTACGCTGGTGTTTTGAACGCCATGCGAGAGGCCGAGACCTACTCTGGTCCCGGTCTCGTCCTCGCCTACTTGCCTTGGGGTGAGAAGGAGGATGGTGAGACCGTCTCTGCTACCGAGAAGGCTGGTGCCCTCGAGCGTCTCAGGGAGACCAAGCGAGCTGTTTCTGGCGGTTGGTGGCCCATGTTCAGGTGGAACCCTTCCGCCGCCGACGACAAGAGGTTCTCCCTCGACTCTTCTTATGTCAAGGCTGCTCTTTCCGAGTTCCTCGACCGACAGTCTCACCTCTCCCAGCTCACCCTCGCCACCCCTGCCATCGACTCGAGCGTCACCGCCTCTGCTGGTACCGACCTTGTCGCTGCCCGAAAGGAAAAGGCCAGGAAGGCTTACGATGCCCTTCTCAACTCTCTCGATGGCCCTGGTCTTTTGGTTCTTGTCGCTTCTGACGGTGGTAACGCCGAGAAGCTCGCCAAGAGGCTCGTTGGCCGCGCCAAGATGAGGGGTGTGGGTGCCTCTCTCCGTGTTCTCGACGAGGTCGCCGAGAACGTCATCGAGACTCTCAGCCAGGAGGCCAACGTCCTCTTCATCACCTCCACCGCTGGTCAGGGTGAGTCTCCTCTCAATGGTCGAGAGTTCACCAAGGCTCTCGGCAAGATCTCTTCTTCCGAGGAGCTCAAGGAGACCAAGGTCGCCGTCTTTGGTATGGGTGACTCTCACTACTGGCCTCGTCCCGAGGACGCCGGCTACTACAACAAGCCCGCCCGAGACCTTTTCCCCAAGCTCATGTCTGTCGGCTGCCAGGAGCTCCTTCCCCTCGCCCTCGGTGACGACTCTGACCCCGACGGTGTCCAGACCGCTTACAAGCCTTTCGAGGCTGCTCTTTGGCGAGCGCTTGGTGTCGACAGTGTCGAGGTTGTGGAGGAGAAGGAAGAGGTTGTCGCGAACGAGCACATCAAGATCGCGTCCGACTACTTGCGAGGTACTATCCTCGAGGGTCTTGAGGACAAGTCTACTGGTGCTATCTCTGCTTCCGACGCTCAGTTGACCAAGTTCCACGGTACCTACATGCAGGTGAGTATCTTGTCACGTCTATCTTACTAGTGCTGACATTATCTCAGGACGACCGAGACATCCGAGAGTCTCTCAAGGCCCAAGGTCTCGAGCCCGCCTATTCTTTCATGATCCGAGTCCGTATGCCCGCTGGTGTCTGTAACGCCCAGCAGTGGCTCGACATGGACGCCATTGCCGACGAGCACGGTAACAGCACCTTCAAGTTGACTACCCGACAAACTTTCCAGTTCCACGGTATCATCAAGAGTCACTTGAAGAAGGCCATGCAGGCCATCAATAAGAGTTTGCTGGACACCATTGCCGCTTGTGGTGATGTCAGTGAGTACTATTTTGCTCCTGGAGGTGGATGGGACTGACAAGCATTAGACCGAAACATCCAGTGTACCGTCAACCCTGCTCTTTCCAAGACCCACGAGACCGTCTACAACTTTGCCAAGGACGTCTCTGAGCACTTGCTTCCTTCCACCAACGCCTACCACGAGATTTGGCTCGACAAGAAGAAGGTCGTTGGTGACGCTGTCCAGCACCTCTCTGCCGACCACGAGCCCCTCTACGGTCCTTACTACCTCCCCCGTAAATTCAAGATCGCCGTCGCTGTCCCTCCCGACAACGCCGTCGACGTCTTCACCAACGATGTCGGTTTCATCGCCATTGTTGAGAACGGCGAGGTCGTTGGTTACAACGTTTCTGCTGGTGGTGGTATGGGTGTTACCCACGGTAACAAGAAGACCTACCCCCGATTGGGTACTATCCTTGGTTTCATCACTCCTGAGGAGGGTAAGAAGGTCTCTGAGAGCATCATGTTGGTGCAGAGGGACAACGGTAACCGACAGGACCGAAAGAACGCTGTATGTAATCTCATTGCTTTTAACATGCGTTTACTGACCCCTTTGTAGCGTCTGAAGTACACTGTCGACCGTCTCGGTTTCCCCAAGTTCAAGTCTCTCGTTGAAGAGCGATGGGGCAAGAAGTTTGCGTCTGCCCGCGACTACCACTTTGACTCCAACCTTGACCACTACGGCTGGCAACAGGGTCACGACGGCAAGTGGCACTTCACCATGTTTATCGAGAACGGTCGTGTCGAGGACAACGCCAAGCACCAGTTCAAGTCTGGTTTGAAGGACATTGCCAAGGTCCACAAGGGTACTTTCAGGTTGACTGCCAACCAGCATTTGATCTTGTCCGACATTGCTCCCGAGGACCTCGACGAGATGAAGAGGTTGCTCAACAAGTGGGGCTTGGATCACATCGACCACTCTGGTGTCCGATTGTCATCCTCCGCCTGTGTCGCTTTCCCCACTTGTGGTCTTGCTATGGCTGAGAGTGAGAGGTACTTGCCGGTGTTGATCGACAAGGTCGAGAAGATCTGTGAGGAGGCTGGTATCAGGAATGATGCCCTTGTGATGAGGATGACTGGTTGTCCCAACGGGTCAGTGGCGTTCTCATGTTGCGTATTGCATGGTCTGACTCTTTTACAGTTGTGCGCGACCTTGGGCTGCCGAGATTGCGTTTGTCGGTAAGGCTCCTGGAGCTTACATGGTATGTCTTCTCATATTCGTCCCTCCGGGCCCTCGCTGACAACTCTTCAGGTCATGCTTGGTGGAAGTCACCTCGGTACGAGATTGAACAAGCCCTTCCTCGAATCTGCCACCGAACCCGAAATCCTCGCCGTCCTGAAACCCATGATCAAGCGCTGGGCTCTCGAGCGTCACGAAGGTGAACGTTTCGGTGACTGGACCATCCGTGCGGGCTACATCAAGCCTACAACGGAGGGCATGAACTTCTGGGACGACTCTTTCCCGTCTCAGCAAGTTCAGGCTCCTGCTATCGCTGCTTAGATGAGATGGGTTTTCGGTGTCTGGTGATGGTGTAGAGGGGTGTCAGCGTAAAGTTGTATTGATAGCAAGAAAAACAATCTCGGTCTTTTTCTCTCGGTTTCCCAGTCTTCTCTCTCCTGCTTTGGTTTCATTCTCTGTTTCTCACGACAGTCATCATATATCTCAATTCATATGCATATGTCTCGGCAAAACACTTATTCGGTCTTGAAGTCTGCCCTGCCTGAAACCCTTACGTAAGACTAAAAATGACCCCGCGGGGAAGCCCGAGTTCGACGCGTTCAGTTCACGCACTGTATCTTTGTCGTTGTGTTCATTTCATTTCTTACCAGCCAGAATGCCGCCAAAGCCACCAGATGTCGAAGCCAGGATTTTGAACGCCCTACGAGCCGCAAACCAGCAAGAAAAGCCCAACATTGCCGCCCTATCTCGCGAATACGACGTGCCCGTCAAGCGCCTCCGGAAACGGTACAAGGGCAACCTTGCTACCAAGTCTGTTCACAAAGCTCTTGATGAGTTCCAAGAAGAGGCCCTGCTGGACTGGATTCGTTTCATGGACAAGTGCGGGCTTTATCCGACCAGGGCCACTGTCGAAGACTCGGCCAACGAGCTCTTATTAGCCATGGCCGAAGACGGCGAGGCGGAGGACGCGCCCACTGTGGGTGCCCAGTGGGTTGAGAGCTTTTGCCAACGGACTCAAATCCTTGCACAGCTTAGACAAAAGGTTGATGATGAAGCGGATGCTGTTCCAGGGCCGAGGGCAATAGGGTCATATTTCAGGAAGTTTAAGGCAGTGAGAGACGAATTTGACATCCAAGTAAGTGTCACAATTACGTCCCATGATGTCGGTATACTGACGGGTGAATCTTCAGCCGTCTGACATATGGACCATGGACGAAGTCATTTTCAGAATCGACGGCAAAAACAAGCCTACGACCGGCAATGGCCCGTCCCTCACCGTCATCGAAGCCGTCAACGCGAGCGGCGATACCATTCCTCCCCAGATCGTCCTACCTGGCAAGAGAATGATGTGTTCTTGGTTTGACAACGATTTACCCGACGACGCCCTCGTAGCTTGTTCTGATACCGGCCATACCGATGATATCCAGGCTTTGAACTGGATAGAGCACTTCGCCATGCGCACGGAGCGAACGAGGGCTGGGAACCACAGTATATTGATTCATGATGGCACCAAGCACGATTCATACACAACCTTCCAATCTCTGTTGTTTTGTGAAAAGCACAACATCATCCCTTTCAGCTTGCCCTCGAATGCTTCCCACATCCTCCATCCCCTCGAATGCTTCCCACATCCTCCATCCCCTCGAATTCGGCGTCCTTCAGTCATACAGATGTTGGCACTGAATAGCCGTCAGCGAAGCAGCTTCCCAAGGCTGTGATCGTTTCGACAAGAACGAGTTCATGGCTGCCCTCAACGGCGTCAGAGAGAAGACCTTCAAGAAGGATGATATCAAGCATGGCTTCGAAGCTGCCGGGCTTGTGCCATACAACCCCAAGATGGCTGTAGAACGTCTTGAAGGCTACAAACCTGGCGATGAACTCTTGAGCGACGAAGATGAGGATGGAAGTTCGGAACCTATGACTCCACCCACCCATCACCGCCTCTCTACCCCTACGCCTCCCTCCGACCTTTCCAGTTCCCCTATCCCATCTTCCCCTAGCTATATTCCGCCCACTCCGAGATCTTATCGCTCCCTGGTCAAGTTGGGTCGAAAGCTGGAAGCCGATCCGCCTGTCCTTACGCCAGCCCAGATGAAGAATTACTTCAGGAGCTTTGGCAAGGGTAGTATGATACAAGCATATCGTGGTCAATTGACTCAAAATTACCTGAAACGGGAGGAGGAGAAGGCTGCTGCTGATGCTAAAAGGATTGAAGAAATACAAGCGCTCTGAGCTTATCGTAGAGCTCGATGCTGGCTTTGCCCCCAAGGAGGTCACCCCGAAACGGAGAACGCCGGATGAGGTGGCCTTTGTGAATAATCAAGGATATACGCAAATGAGAAACTCGTGGGGTTCTGGCAGTGATGGTGGAAGAGGGAGCATAATCAAGAGGCCAGGAGGTCGTATCAGGGTCGCTAGGTCAGTGTCTTGCATGATTGATGCCCGTCTCCTCGTTCGGATCCGACTCGAATCACTTCTGCAGCTGTTCAAGTGAATAAGGGCTGCTATGCATGTTTAAACATCGCGACGTCCCATCGCCGAGGCGTCATCCGTCAATCTCGCGGATTCCTCTTTTTCTGGCTGGGTACTGGATGTTTGAGAGAAACCTGGGTCGGGGAGCAAGTACAGGGCTAGCGTCAAAGATATCACGAGAAGGACGCAGAAGACCCCGAGGGCTAGTGTGGCTAGGCGATGTATTGGAGTTAGTACGAGCGCAGCACGCATGAGGAAAGAAAGAGGGTATCTATCAACTTACCGCTGACACTCATGGATGGCCGCGTACCAGATAAAGTCAGTCGAGTAGAGGTAACGAGACCTACTTTTCAATGTACCCTTGCGCATCATGCATTGTCAGTCAGGCTGGGTATAAAGGATTTCTTAAGAGAAAGGAAAGCGATTCATCACAAGAGCGGCAGCAGCGGTGATAGTGAGTAGTGCAAGCGTCAGCGCCGCCGTCGGGGGTCGTTCGCATGTCCAGTCTCTCTCAGAAGGGAAGCAAACAGTATGGTATTCAGACCAAGAATGACATACTTTGGTAGCCTGTTGATGAATGGCACGCACGACAAAGACCCTTGTAGCTGCGTTAGGACCTACCGCCACACTGACGTTGAACGTCTCCCCGTCCCGCCGATCATTGCCCTACTGTAGAGCTTGTACATTTGATTCACTGATTACATATTGAAGAAGATCATTCAGCAGAGTCACAACATCAGATAGCCAACAGTATGCAAGAGGAGAGATTCATGGAGCCAAAGAAAGAGAAGATAGATACCCCAGTAGGCGCGCGAGGCACGCTTTCAATGCTCGGGGTCCGACGCGACTCTTCTCTTGCACGTCTCACTTTCACCCACTCTCAGCCATCCAAATCAAAAATTGCCATGGCAGAACTCGCTCCCCCAGAATCAGAACCCCGCCTCTCCACCTCCTCAACATCATCCGCCCACTCCCTCGACCTCCCCTCCCTCCAGCCCCTCTCACATACCCACCCCCTCCTCTCTGCCCCGGACTTTGACCCCGACGCTTTCCTTCTCTCTCGCATCCACATCCCGCTGGAAGAACTCAGAGGAGAGCTGAGAGAGTATCTAGGACAACTGCGAGAAGAGCTGGTGCAATTGATTAATGATGACTATGAAGAGTTCTTGAGTCTAGGGACGGGGTTGCGAGGCGAGGAGGAGAGGCTGCGAATGTTGTCTGGTCCGCTTCTGAGTGTGAGGAGTGAAGTAGAGGTATGTAGACTCTCCTATCAACCAGTCAGAGAGCTGATCACCCCCCCAGTCTGTCCGTGATGTGCTGGCAGAGCACCAGCAGAAAGTCCAGAGCAAGCTCGATGAGCGTGCCAGCTTGAGATCGGAGAAAGCATTGCTTGACCTGTTACAACGGCTATTCGATACTCTGTCTCGAGCAGAAGTACTGCTGGATCAACCACACCATGACGAGCAAGGGAAGGGCAAGCTCGTTGGTAGGGTAGCCAGCGAGTATACGCAAGTCGTATACCTCCTGAACAAGGCCAAGGCGGAGGGCTGTGCAATCGTAGATGTCGTGCAGGAGGTGCGCATGATCACGGGATATGGAAATTGCAACTGACGATTCCTTGCAGAGAATCAGCAAGATCAAGAAGAGAATATCAGACGACCTCTCCACTGTGCTCGTCACTGAGCTACAAAATCAAGATAAAGCTGGCCTGAAGCATTGTCTGCGCATCTATGAACTGATAGAGGGGTGGGAAGAGGCAGAGGAAGTCATCAGGAAGGACTTTCAGGTGTACTGCCGCGACGTGAGTGCTGCTTCATACAGCTCGGGGCTAGCTGACGATTGTGTAGGCGATATCAACCCAAGCCCTCAATCCTCCAACAACTCCGACAGTTCCCCTCACTCCCCATCCACAACAAAACTCCCTCACCTCCCTTCGCCTCCCTCCCAAATTCTCATCTCCCCTTGCTCTGCTATACAACCAGCTCCTTACGCGCGTGGCGATCTATCAGCCGTTGATGGACGTCGGGGAGGAGGTGTCGAGCAAGTTTGACTTTTTCGCCAGGGTGATCTGGCCAGAGATTGGAGAGAGAATTATGGAGAAGCTGGGAGGCGTCATCTTTGCTGCTGGGAGGCCAGATGAACTGCATCGAGTGAGTCTCGCTTCAATGGTAGGAATCATAACTCAATGACTGTGGCAGCATCTGACAACAACCTACAAATTCCTCGAGCTCCTCGAGTCTATCGCCCCTTCTCTCCGCTCTGTGAAGACTATGCGCCAATCCCAAACATACCTCACATTCGAGCGCCGCTGGCAATTGCCCGTCTACTTTCAACTACGGTGGAAGGAGATCGTATCTGGCGTCGAGCAAGCGCTGGCCGGGCAGCCTTCATACACCAGCAAAGAGAAGGAGTCTGAGTGGGCTTTGGGACAGAGTGAAAAGGTCTGGAAGGGGGTGGAGAGCTGTTGGAGGGAGGATGTCTATGTGGCGGAGCTGGCGCCTAGATTTTGGCGGCTGACTTTGCAGGTGTGTTGTTCGTCACTGATCTGTGGATTTGACTGACCAAATGACAGATTGTGAGCCGTTATGGCACCTACTTGAAGTCGACACTTGATTCGTATGTAATCACAGAAGAGAACACGAGTCAGGAAGATACGGCACTGCGGTTCGCCGCCGCAGCGATCATCGACCTCGAGCAGATCGGAGCCAGAGTCAGAGAACTACAAGTCGTCAAAGAGCTCGACCTTGCTGGTCAGTAATTCTGTTCATCACACTTGACCGTGACTGACAGCATGACTAGATCACCTCAAACCCTCGACATCTCTCTACATCTCCAAGATTGAGAGCATCCTCATCCGCAGATGCCTCGACCCCCTCAAATTGATCCGCTCCATTGCCTCTCAATTCCGCGCCTCCACTCCCAACCCAACCGCCCCGAGCCAAGCTTCATACTATGTACCATCAGTATTGAAGCCTCTCCGGGCAGTTTATGGGCAAAGGCCAGAGTTGAAAGAGAGGCACAGCGAGGAGCTTGGGGGCAGGGTAGTCGATGAGGTCTTGAAGAACTTTGCTTCCACGCTGGCGAGTGTGAAGAAGACGGAAGATCTGCTCAGGAAACATCGCAAGTCGAAAAAGACGACAGGCTTTTCGTCGTTTTTTGGGGGCGGTGCTGCGGCTGAAGAAGGGAAAGGAGAAGAAGGGGAGAAGGAGGAAGAGAGATTTGCGGCGCAGATGAAGGTTGATATCAAGGCTTTGAGGGAGGATGCGGAAAGTCTAGGGGTGGAGGTGGAGGGTATGGAAAGCTGGAAGGAGCTGGTTGGGGTCTGTGAGGGGACAGCGAATTAGATCATTGTATGATATATGTACAGACCTAATTCATATACAGGATATATGACGATTGCGCTCAGCACGCCAGGTGCTGAATGGAAAGCAAAGAAAGAGGAGATGAGCGGCGATGACCGGCCGCCGGTACCTGAACCACGTGACTATTTTGCGCTCATTGACTCTTTCATTGATCTTAGTGGAACAACAATTCTTTCTGCTTCTTCATCTCTTACACTTTCTTTCCGAAAACACAATGGGTAAAGCTGAAGCAGGAAGTGCCAAAGCGATCGGTAACGCGATCAAGGCCAAGGGTAAGTTGCGTTGAGGATGGGTGGCAAATGAAATGCTGACCGGAACAGGGCTTGGGCGGCTTAGGTGGTACTGTCAGGTGTGTGAGAAGCAATGTAGGGATGAGAACGGTTTTCAGGTGAGAGCGCTCTGTCTTGAGTAAACTACGCTGACACTCGATTTCTCGTCTGCCAGGCGCACTGCCGCTCCGAACCCCACATGCGCAAAATCATGAACATCGGTCCCAAAGCCGGCTCTGCCATCGCCGACTATTCCCGCCAATTCCAATCCGATTTCATGACTCTACTCCGCTCTCGCCATCTCACCAACCGTGTTCAAGCCAACAAAGTCTACAACGAGTACATTCAGGACAAGCACCATACGCATATGAATGCGACGAGATGGGTCACGCTGAATGGGTTCATCATGACGATAGGAAAGGCGGGACTGGTCAAGGTAGATGAGGATGAGAAGGGGCTATGGATCCAGTGGATCGATAACAGACCAGAGACACTCTCCAAACAGGTGTGTCTATCTTCTAACATATAGAACTTGGACTGATTCATATTCTACAGGCCAACTCTCTCAAGTTTGAACGGGCTCAGATGGACGGTGAAGAGCGCGAACGCAAGATGCTTGAGGAGCAAATTGCGCGCGCGAAAGCTGCTGCCCAGAAAGACGACCAACCCACAATTGAGCCCGGGCTTCAGCGTGAGGAAGGCGAAAAGGTCAAGCTTACCTTGTTCCCTTCAGCTCCCTCCGAGGCCAAGACCGAGGAAGGAGCAGAGCCTGGGGAGAAGAAGGAGGGCGAAGCTGCGCCGGTGAAGAGCGGCTTCAAGATGTTTGGTGTCTCTGCTGCTGCAAAACCGAACCCTCTCAAGCGCCCCGCGCCGTCCAACGTCTTCAAATTGGCAAAGTCTACCAAGACCGAGTCGTCCAACTCATCTAGTAATGGGGCTGGTGGGCCGCCAAAGTACAAGAGCGAGGCGGAGAGGTTAATGATGGAAGATCGGGCCATGAAGGCAAGTCGACCACAAGGCTATAGGGGGATGGGACCCTCCAGAGGGGCTAGATGAAGGAGAGGGTGTAGAGGTGATCTTTGTCGTATCGTTGTAATAGTATGAAGTGCATGGTCCTGCATCGCTCCAAATTATCGCTCGGCGCTCTGCCTCGTCATTCGATCCATTACTCTAATGTGTTCAAACTGCCTTCCGTAATGGACACAACTAGAATACAGCCCAAGTCCCTTTCCCCATACATGTACGTTATCTATGCATACACACGGAAGGAAACCTAAACTGCATTTGGTGAGCCGGTGATAGAACAAGGCACGTGGATCCAATGACGTCTTGATTTTCGGCGCATAACATACCTCTCCTTCTTTGCTTATTTCTCCATTTTTGCAGTCCACAGACCGACAACAGCCCACCACTGCCACGGCTCAAAAGGATCACTTCATATCCACCCCATGCCAACCTCCCTTGCCTTCTCCAGCGTCACCACCAGCTCTCTCATCGGCGTCGCTATAGCCTGTGGAGGCAACGTCCTCATCTCTTTGGCCTTGTAAGCTCTTCACATTTCTTCCTAGTCTTACCTATGCTTCACGTAAATCTGGTACTCGATCAAGGCTTGGCTGCAAATACTAACACAAGAGTAGGACGATCCAAAAGCTCGCTCATCGTCGCAATGAAGAAGCTCTTCATGCGTCCGAGTATGATTCCAGCGATGAGGATGAAGGTGAAGAGGAAGATGAAAATGGTGTGCAACGAACGAATCCTTCA